GTAATGAGAATGTAGTAGTTAGGTATTCTGCTCTAAATCTTAGAACTTATCATTCATGTTGGCTTTTTGTTCTTGCATGGTTTGGAGCATTTGAGCCATTATTGATTCCAGTGAACTGGGCATTGGAGTGGGCTATTGAACGGAATATGGGATCCTAGGTTTGGTGGGTGGTTGGATTGAAGGTTGCTCCCTATAATTGCCTTGATAATTGGAATGATTGTTCTTGTATGGCATATTATTAGGGGCATTCTGGGGTGGTTATGGCTTCCATGAAAAATTAGGATAGTTACGCCACCAAGGATTGCACGTGTTCGTGTACGGATCGTTCTGTCTCTGAAAGCCTTGTGCAACCTACACTTGCTCCTCAAAAGGGTCGGGGGCGGGTTCCTCAATTGGATGGTCAAGAGTTGAGTGCATGGCAAAAACATCCTGGTTCACCCTATTCTAAGATGATTTTGTAAAGAGTTGCCCTTGTATAGATACAAACTTGTCAAACCGGTGGGCCAACACCTCTAGCTTTGAACTGATGTCATCTAACCGTGACACCTCATACACGCCACCCTTCTTGGATGGCTGCCCTGAGATAAGCATTCTAGACACAAAAATATGGTGTATTGAATTTTCACTTAAGGTCTCAAAGAATTGTCATAATTCATTCTCGTCCTTGTACATAAATGTTCCTCCACAAGAGGCGTCTACCATATTCCTATGCCTCTCGATTAGTCCGTCATAAAAACTATGAACTAAGGTGCCACCTAAGGACTGCGTGATCGGGACACAACCTAAGCATTTCCTTCAAACGTTCCCAACTCTCATAAAATTCCTCGCCATCTAGTTGAATGAAATTAGTGATGGCTCGTCTTATGCTGTTGGTTTCACCAATGGGATGATACTTTTTTATGAATCTTTGTTGCATTTGGGTCTAAGAGGTATTGGAGCCTGCTACCAAAGAATTGAGCCACTGTTTGGCTCCATCCTTAAGTGAGAATGGGAATAAAATTAAGCGCACAACATCCCCATTCACATTTTGCAGTCTAACTCAGGAGCAAACCTCTAAAAATTCATCTAAGTGTTTGTATGGCTCCTCATTTAAATTCCCATAATAAATTGGCAACAATTGGATAACACTAGTTTTGATCTCATAGTGTTGTGTCTAGATGTTGGGATACGAATACTTGAGGCTGAAGTGTAGGTGGTGGGTGCAAAATGTTGGCTAAGGGGCACATGCTTGGGTGCCTCTTGGTCAACCATCCTACATGCTTGTTTTCTATTCCTCTTACAAGTGCGCTCAATTTCAAGATTCAAAGGTAATAACTCTTCGTTATAAGACCTTCTAGTTTGCATTCATCAATAAAACACACAAGAGGCTCAACAAACAACCGTAACAACAATTTCAAAGAAAAATAACTAAATGCAAATCCTAAGGAGCAAATTCAATAAGCACACAAAACATAACTAAAACAAATCTAAAATTTAATGAAACTTTACCCAAAAAAAAAAAAAATCACACAAACAAATATGCTTAATCAAAACCAAAGCTATCAATGAAACCTAAAAGAAACTAATACTAAGAACCAAAAATTTAATCCTAAGACTAAAAACAAATTATGCAAATTAAAAGGAAAACTAACAATTAACCAACCAAAACTATAAGCATGCAATAAATTCACTCAACCAATTAGTCCAACATACAATTAAAGAACTACACTTAACAATCAACTCAAACAAAAAGAAAGCAAAACTAGTAACTAAATCCTATGATTTAAAACACAATATGCAAAATAAGGCAAAAGTTATCACTAATAAACTACCACACAACTATAACTATTAATCAAAAGAACAAAAAAAATAAAGTTAAGAGAATTTCACAATCGGTTTGCACTAAATCTTTCATGCTTACGACACACTGCAGCGTTTTCCCAATTGCGATCTTCCTACAAAACAAAAACAAACACAAATGAACTATTCCAACAAAAATTAAATGCAAGAGCAATAAAACAAAATCACATAAAATGATAACCCAACCAAAAGGAAAATAACCAAAATAAAATAAAAATATACTAAACTAAAATGAACACAAGAAGTAAACACTCATCTACACAAAATACTCAAAGGCATTTAACACACAAGCAAGTAAAAATAACAAAGACAAGCAACTAAAATAAACTAAACTAAACAACTTACCCAAACAAATAATCACTACAAAGAAGACAATACCAACACAAACAACAAACTAACATAAACCTAAAGTATAAATGTGAATATAACTCTATTACAATCGATTTGAAGTAATTTAAAGCAATACTCAACATTTAATTATCTTAAACCAACATTTATCACGCAATAGATTTTATATCAACAATTAATCTCAATGGACAACACCAACAATCACAAATCATGTATCAAACTATGTTAAAGTATCGTAATCAAACATGAAACAAAAACAAATATAATTTGATACACAATACTAAGCCAAATTTCCAACAATCAGGTTCATCCAACTAGTTGAGAGTTGTTGAGAAGAGCCATGGGTGTCGATCTCGATCTCACCTACACTGTAACAGACAACCGGGAGCTCAACCGCTCATGGTGGTGTCGACGAAGGCTGAAAAGCCAGAAATGGGGCTAGTCATGGTGAAGAGAACATAACTGACAACAAGATAATGCAAAGAAGGAGCAAAAATGACCAACAAATACGTCAGAATATGAACAATCGCAACTCGACAAAATAGGTTAGTTTTCCAACAAATGGTGGCGGAAATGGGATTCAAGGGTACCGGAGGATATATCAGGTCATGGAGATGATAGATCGACTGGTTGGAAGGTGAAAAGTTGCTAGGAAATGAGCAAAATCGCGGCTGGAAGGTGAAGAGGCATGGCAGCAACGACGGTGGATTTTGACCAGTTTGACATCGACAGAGCTTGGAGGAAGGTGGATTTGAGTGTGGGGAAGGTAGATCAGCCACCAAGGAAGGAAAGAGTTATCGAAGGTCGTCGGAAAGTGACCCAACAATAGCTTAAAGACGAAACGTCACCAGTAAACACGCAAATCACGGCAGTGAGTGCGGGATGATGATGATCGATGCAAGGGGAAGCTGGGGAGTCGCCGAAAATGAGAGGCAAAAGGTCACCAAAAAATGGACCTGGGGTTTGGGGTGAGCGGCGCTATAGATCTGGAACTATTCATCTCCTTTTATGCAAAGACTGACAAATTTTATTTAGTCCCTGTATGAATGAAAACTGACAAAATCAACCCCTAAAAATGTGACAATTTACCCCCTGAACATAATAAATGAGACAAATTCAGACCTAATAAATAAATCATACCCTAATATCGACTCACAACATCTCAAAAATCATTCCAAACATGCACAAATTGTAAGGAAAAATTAAAATGTGATTTTTCATTAATAATTCCAAAATTTCTTCAATTGTCTCAATATAAATTCAATTTATTCACAAGAAGGGTATTTTAATCATCTTACTATAGTCATTTTCATGACTCTTATAGTCATTTTCATGACTCTAACAAGAAGTTGAAAAACTTGTGCTTGAAGCAGAGGGAAGAGATTAAAGCATTGAAGAGTGCAATTTTGTTTCCAGATGCTATGAATTCTCAGCTTCAAGAACTGCTACAGAAACAGGGTTTTGAGTTGAAACAAGCCAAAAAAGTCATTTCACATCTGCAGAGGCAGGTTACTTCTTTATACGCTTCAATTGTTTAGAAGATGTTTCAAAAATTTTGAAGAGTTTGGGGGGATTGAAAATTAGTGAGGAAGGAGAGGAGTCGTGCCGTTGGGATTGAAGTTTCAGATTTGGATTTATTGAATATTGAATGGATTTCAGAGTTGGTGTAGTAAATTTCAAGTATAAATTTATGTTTTGGGATGAGAGTGCACATATACGCTTCAATTTAGTGTTGTTTAATGTGTAATGATTAATTGTTTTAAGGTAAGTAGTGTTTGGATGAAGGGTCATGGTGGCAGGTTTGGAGCTCGTGGAGGTGAAGAAGAAGAAAAGAGAAGAAAGAAAGAGAAGAGAGGTGGGGAATGAGAAAGAAGGGAAGAGTAGAAGAGAAAATGGTATTTTCGCATTTATACTGTTTATATTTGTCAATTAACGGATATTTGGTCTTAGTGATGGATGGTAAAGTAGTATTTTGAACTGAGAAAGGCAATGTTTTAAAACCCAACCCAGGGTGAAACCCGGCAAAGTTTTCGAGTCCCGGTTTGATCGGTTTGACCAACGGTTTGACAAAAAATTTTAAAACTCAACAAATACACCCCTAAAAATGACCTGCAAGTCCTTACATGTTTGAACTTTATCAAACACACCCCAAATGAAAATCGACCGGCGACTGATCGGCAGCGGCGACACCACAAATGCAACCCAAATCGTCCCCTAAGCCCATTTCCATTAAAATCTACCCAAGGTCTGGCCGAAATATGTTTGATTTTAGCCAGATCTCATCGACGCCGGCGTGGGTATTCTAGGCCAGATCTCATCCATGCCGGCGTCGACAAACCTCCTCATCACCCAGGAATTACTCCCATGTTCCTCCCTACCAAAACCCACCTCACCCCACCCCCGTTAGCCTCACCAATCGCCGAAAAAATCCCATTGTTGTCGCTGCCAAGTTTGTTCGATTTTCGGTCGATTTACTCACCAGAAATCAACGCCGTCACCACCATTGCATTCACCGGAACTTAGTCTTCAAAAGCCCTAACCTTCCGGCCGTCGATTGTTCGTCAATCATCCTCCCAAATCTTAGGGTTTTGGGGTGAATCAGAAAAGTTAAACCCGGCCCATTGAAGCTGCTGAGTCCTGGTTCAACCGACTGGGCCGGGTTTTAAAACAATGGAGAAAGGGTCATTAGGCTAAACCGTGGGTGGGAAAAGTCCTTTACTCCTCATGCCATGCCCGGGTCCGGCCCATCTGACATCCCTGCTCAAATCTTACTTGAAACGTTTCTAGCAAGATGACGTGACCATTCATTATTAGCTCCATAAAAGGCACTACTCAATAGTCAATAGGCATCCTTAGTACCTTTCCCTGCACAATGGAGATTTCAGTGACATTTATTGCCTTCTCTGTTGCTTTTACTATCGTTTTAGGATGTCTATGGAAGGCGCTGGACTGGGTTTGGTTGAAGCCGAAGAAGCTAGAGAAGTTGCTTAGGCAACAAGGTTTCTCCGGCAACTCCTACAAATTTCTTCATGGAGACACAACAGAGATGTTCATGATGAGAAAACAAGCAAAAACCAGAACGATCAACCCCTTCTCTCACGATATTGCGTCACGAGTCATTCCATTCCACCATCATATCTCCAAGAAGTACGGTATGCCTATTTCTTCACTTGGAAACTTATAATTTCTCAATGTTTTCTAGAAAGTGGAGATATGTAGATAGAATCAATTTTAAGTTATATTGACTGATAATATTTCTAGCTCCCAGCTAGCATTCATGTTTAACTTTTTGCCAGTTTGTGTTTGCTTTGCTAGTTATTCAAATCTTCCAGTTCAGTATTCAATATTCACCAAGTTCAAAAAGAGTTTATAAGAGAAGCTCAAAATCTTTTTAAGTCCTGCAACAACTTATTTAAAATCCTATAAATACTCATGAGATGCAATCAAATAACTAAAAACAATTTCAAAAATGTTCATAGTATTAAATAAAACTCTTTTGACTACTAAATAAAAGTTCTAAATTATGTATTTCTTTTTTTCTTTCTTCAAAGATTTTATACATACTTCTAATTCTATGTATTATAAAGTTTTATTATATGCTGTGGCATATCTTTGATTCTTTGGCTAGATATGCTGGTCCTTATCGAATAAATTGTTGGATCAATCAAAGGTTAAAGGTCTAAAAAGATGAAGTGGGCCGACAAGTTTTAATTTCTCTAGCACTGGAAAGGTGCCAGCTTATCTTTCTTATCTTCATTTGTCTGTCCTTTACAGCAATGCTAATGTAATCGAAATCCTAAAAGCAAGATCATATAATTGACTTAAACATTTAAAAGTTATGATCCAAATTAAATTTATGCAATTACTCGTGATTAAAATGGATGAACTTAATAGTAAAAAGTTACAATAACACGTAAGTTTTTTCCATCGTTGTGGGGCTCCATTTTTTAAAATAAATAAATAAACAAGTTTTTATAAGTGTTTTAAAACCCGATCTGACCCGGCCGGTCGAACCGAGACCTGAGGCCTTCACCAGGCCGAGTTACCATTTTGATTGTTTATGACAAACCCAAGAGATTAGGACGATGATTGGCGAATAATTGGTGACTGGGATGTTAAGGGTTTTGAAAAAGAAGGGTCAATGAGTCGAAAGGTGGCGATGGAGGTGATTTTCAATGAGTGAATTGACCAAAAATCGCAAAAACCAACAATTAATGAGGCAAATAGAAGTGAGGTGAGATGGGTTTTGGTCAGAAGGCTGAGAGGAGAGTTTTTGTGGTGATGGGGTGTGTTGTCGACGATAGAAACATATCCTATTTGGCTTGGGTTGTTGACGCTGATGGGGTAATTTAAGGTGTTTTGTAGGATTTCAAATTTGTAGGGATTTATATGTAATTTTTAGGGATGTTTTTGCTAGATTTCAAACTTTTGGATATGCTGACATCATCGGTTTGACCTATCGGGTTCAACTGATCAACTCAGGACCCAGTCGCTTTGCCAGGATTCACCTCGTGCTGGGTTTTAAAACCTTGATTTTGATAACCGAATTCTTTCACACGGCACAATATCATTGTTATAATCTCCTAAAATAACAACCACCACCATAATAATAATAATAAGAGTTAATCTTCTACTTAATTATCAAATCCAACTAGATTATATCCATAAAATGGTTAGATAAATATTATTTACTATAGGTCAGGTTTTACTTGTGAGAGGATAAAAAATAAAAATAATTATTTCTATATCAACTCATTAGTTGCCACGATTCGTCTATATATTAGTCTGTTCATCTTGTACACATTAGTTTGACATTTAGTATTATTTTTTATTTAATGATAACGATTAATGCAGGAAAGAATTCATTCATATGGATGGGTCCAATGCCAATCATAAACATCACAGATCCCAAATTGATAAGGGAAATTTTGTTAAGGCATGAAATATTTCAAAAACCCAAGCTGAACAGCCTTGGCAGGTCGGTATTTAGTGGGATGGGGATATACGAGGGTGAACGATGGTTCAAAGTCAGAAAGACAGCCAATCCAGCTTTCCATCTCGATAAGTTGAAGGTTTTTCTTCTTTCTATCCTCTTACAATTAAGAATTAGTCTTTTGTTATGTGTCTATTAATGCATATGTTATATAATATTTATGCACTCTTATTATGTTACACATTTTTTCATTTTCTTGATAGGGTATGTTACCTAAGATGTATCTGAGCTGCAACGACATGATAAGAAAATGGAAGATTTCAATCTCAAATGAAGAGTCGCATGAGTTAGATTTGTGGCCTGACATAAAGGCTTTAACATCGGATGTGATCTCTCGGACAACATTTAGCAGTAGTTATGAAGATGGAAGAAAAATATTTGAACTCATAACCGAACAAATTAATATTATCACTCAAGTTTTCTACTTCTTTCACATTCCGGGATGGAGGTAATTTGAACTAATTTTGGGTTGATTTATATTAATTTGTAAAAAACAAAGGGGAAAATGGGAATTCTAAAATTGAGAACATGAATTGATTTTATATTTTCAAGATTTGAGAATGCATTTGGTATTATATGTATTATGAAAATAAACCAATAAAAAAGCCTTCTCATATGTTACTATAGTAACTTACTAATATTTTATTAATTTAGAAGTACTTATTTAAAATTGAAAAATTATTAAACAACTCAATAGTAATTTTTATTTAATTTTGCTGTCAAATATTTGAGATTTATAATGGATGAGTAAGAAGAATCCGTTTCATTCTTGCACTGATGAAATCACTTTTTGAATCTTCAGTTTTGTGCCCACTAAAGCAAACAGAAAATTGAAAAGCAATGAGAAAGAAATTCGAGAAGTGATAAAAGGAATCGTAAAGAAGAGAGAGGAGGTCCTTAAAGTTGGAGAAGCAAGTAATGAGGATTTATTGGGTTTATTAGTGGAATCAAATCTCAAGGAAATTCAAGAGCATGGGCATAAAGAAAGTGGAATGAGTATTGAAGAGGTGATTGATGAGTGTAAACTTTTTTATCTTGCTGGCCAGGAGACTACTGCAACTTTGATTATATGGACAATGATTTTGTTATGTATGCATCCAAATTGGCAAGAACGTGCAAGAGAAGAGCTTTTCCAAGTTTTCGGGAACAAAGAACCGCAATTTGATGAGCTAAACAGCTTGAAAGAAGTAAGTAATTTCTTTCTACTTCGAGAGGATTTAACGTTTTAAGAATCTTCCATTAACATTGGATAATTTATTCCCCGGAAAATATGTGTTGCAGTTACACAAAATTGTCTACGAGGTTCTGAGATTATATCCACCACCTCTGTTAGGCAGAGCAACTATTAAGGAGTCCAAACTGGGAGAAATTATTATCCCGCCTGGCGTTTTCATTTCATTACCAATAATTCTAGTTCATCAGGATGAAAAATATTGGGGAGCTGACGCAAAAGAGTTCAATCCAGATAGATTTTCCCAAGGGGTTTCAAAGGCTTCAAAGAATGATCAAGTTTCATTTTTCCCATTCAGTTGGGGTCCCAGAACTTGCATCGGACAAAACTTTGCATTGCTGGAAGCAAAACTAGCTTTAGCAATGATTCTGCAAAATTTCTCTTTTCAGCTCTCTCCAACTTACGTTCATACCCCTGTTCTTGGTATAACTATACAACCACAAAATGGTGCTCACATCATTTTACAAAAGATTTAGTATCATATAGATAAATAGTTTTGATGTAAGTTCTATACATATCGAGCCTTATATGTTGTTGACTCAATAATCTTACAACATCTAGTAATGGTTGGATTATTTATTATGTGTTTATTGCGATACCTAAATTATTTATATGTTCATTCATACTTGTGTTTTACTTTAAATTTGGAATTTGTATAGTCTGATATAAACTTAAACCCAAATCTAAGCAAATAAATATTGATTAAAAACGAATATCATAAACTTCTCTTACAAATCTCAACATAACTGTTGAGTTAGCAACTTCAACACACCCGAGACACAAAATGATTTTAATTAGACCCAAGAAACGGTCGTTCATAAAAAGAAATGGCCTTCATTATGGAATGGATCATTCCTTGAAGGAACAGTCATGTATGAAGGAAGAATGGTCATGGAATAGTCATTTCTTCACACGAAATGGTCATTCCTTATCAAAGAACAATCGTTCATCCCTAAAGAAACATAATTTATGTTAAGTCAAAATCATCAGTTAACGTGTTAATACCAACTCAGATGTCACATTGATGTATAAGAGAAAATTTATGAGATTTGTTTGTCATTATAGTATTACTCAATCTAAGCATCCCAATAACAGTTTTAAAAAAATTGATAATGTTAATGGTAGAAAATTCAACGTTAGACTACCGAACCCAAGAATTACTTGACCCATTGAAGTAGTTTTTGGGTCTAGTAAGATATGTGATCCACTCCCGGCCCATTGAGTCACAAAGTCTCCTTATGAACTTGTCCCCTATAAGAATTGTCTACATCCACTTTCTTCTTCTCTCTTTGTTTTCTTTCAACTTTTACTGAAAATGGAGATTTCAGTCACATTTATTGCCTTCTCTGTTGCTTTTCCTGGTATCATAACATGTCTGTGGAAGGTGCTCGACTGGGTTTGGTTGAAACCGAAGAAGCTAGAGATGTTACTTCGACGGCAAGGTTTCTCCGGCAACTCCTACAAACTTCTCCATGGAGACACAAAAGAGATGTTCAGGATCACAAAACAGGCTAAAACAAGACCGATCAACCCCGTCTCCCATGATATTGCGCCGCGAATCATTCCATACCACCATCATATCATCAAAAACTACGGTATGCGAATTTTCTCACTTGAAAGTTATAATTATTTAATGAAGATTTTAAGTTATCGTTTACCTTGATACTCTTAGAATTTGGTAATAACCACATAATAGAGCCGTGTGAACTTATCTTTGTTCACTATATATAAAACAAATACATGAGACTTGACTTTGACTTCGATGAGAAAATTATGAAATAATTTTATTAAGTGATGTATGTGCTGATGTATGTCTATCACAAATTAAAAACTATAGAACTTAACTGACTCATAATTTACCCATGAATAATGCAGGAAAGAATTCTTTGATATGGGAGGGTTCAACACCGAGCATAAACATCATAGACCCCAAATTGATCAGGGATATTATGTTAAAACCCGACATTTTTCGAAAACCCAAGAGGAATCCACTCGCAAAGTTTATAGTGGATGGGATGGTAAAGTATGAGGGTGCTCAATGGCTTAAAGTCAGAAAGATTGCTAATCCTGCTTTCCATCTTGATAAGTTGAAGGTCCCATTTCTATCCTCTAAAACTCATGCAATAGTAATTGTGTATGAAAAACATGAACGCAAAACATCTTTGATTTTTCTTCATGACATGTGACATTAGAATTAAATCAATTTATTTTAGTCACCTTTTATTTTTTTTAGTATTAACATTAAATATTATCATTCGCCTTATTACCACATCTAAAAAAACTATATCTACTTGAACAAATTTTACATTTACTTTCTTGTTTCTCTTTCTTTGTAGGGTATGTTGCCTAAAATTTATCTGAGCTGTAATGACATGATAGAAAAATGGAAGATTTCAATCTCAAACGAAGAATCCTGTGAGTTAGATGTGTGGCCTGACATTACGGCTTTAACATCGGATGTGATTTCTCGGGCAGCATTTGGCAGTAGCTACGAAGATGGAAGAAAAATATTTGAACTCCTTAATGAACAAATTAATCTTATGGTTCAAGTCATGCGGTTCTTTCACATACCAGGATGGAGGTAATTTGAACTAACTTGGGATCCTTCTGTATTACTTTGTGGAATTGTTTTTGAAAAATGAATACAAAAACAAGAAATTTAATTTTGTACTTTCCATAACTTGGTAAAATGTTAAACACCTGTCTTAGTGAAATTTAATTTATTTTTGAACATGAAATTTGGGAACGGTATAAAAACAACTTAACTAAACTTATTTTTTCTCATTTCCTTTACAAAGATTAAATGGTTACCCACTGTTTTCTTGTTTTCTGCATTGAATTTCGGTCATCAAGCTAATCTAAGAGGACTCCATTTGTTTCTTGCACTTAATAGATTTTTATTTGCAGGTTTTTGCCCTTTAAAGCAAATAGAAAATTGAAAAGTAATCATAATGAAATTCGCAAACTAATAAAAGGCATAATAAAGAGAAGAGAGGAGGCTCTGAAAATTGGAAAAGCAAATAACGATGATTTATTGGGTTTATTAGTGGAATCAAATCACATAGAAATTCAAGAGCAGGGGAATAAAGAAAGTGGAATGAGTCTTGAAGAGGTGATTGAGGAGTGCAAACTCTTTTATCTTGCTGGTCAGGAGACTACTGCATCATTGATTGTATGGACAATGGTTTCCTTATGTATGCATCAAAATTGGCAAGATCGCGCAAGAGAAGAGATTTTCCAAGTTTTCGGGAACAAAGTGCCACGATTTGATGAGCTGAACCACTTGAAAGAAGTGAGTACTGAAAGATATTTTCATTCTTAAATTTCCATTTCATTGATCTTCTATAAAGTTTGGCTATATATCTGTTGCAGGTAAATAAAATACTTCATGAGGCTCTAAGGTTATATCCACCAGCAAATTTCTTATCGAGAACAAGTATTAAAGAGTCCAAATTGGGAGAACTCACAATACCACCTGGAGTTCTACTTTCAATACCAATAATTTTAGTTCATCATGATGAAGAATATTGGGGAGATGATGCAAAGGAGTTTAATCCTGATAGATTTTCTCATGGAGTTTCCAATGCATCAAAGAACGATCAAGTCTCATTCTTCCCATTTGGTTGGGGTCCAAGAATATGCATTGGACAAAACTTTGCATTGTTGGAAGCAAAGCTAGCATTGGCAATGATTCTGCAAAATTTCTCTTTTCATCTCTCTCCAACTTATGTTCATGCTCCTACTCGTGACTTCACTCTAAAACCTCAATATGGTGCCCACATCATCTTACGCAAAATATAGTTTTGTAGTGTACTTGCTTTTGAAGTGTTAAAAAATACTCCTATTTTAAATTTTAATTATACTTTATCTTTTTTCCATGGATTCATACTTTATTTATTTATTTTTCAAATAAAAATTCCCCCAAGTAATATAGAAAAATCCAAAGTTAGTTCAGATTAGCTCCATCTTGGTAGGTGAAAAAACCGCAAAACTTGAACCATAAGATTAATTTGTTACTGGTTCATAGCTTTAGCATTAATAAATAATAATATTTTTTGTTATAATTATTTTGTAATATTTAAACTAAAATCATATGGTAAATTATTTTAATAAATGTTAATTAACTTAGTTACATAGATAGAACAAAAGACATTTTTAATAGAGTTTTTTTTTAACATATGTTCTAAAGGCACACATTCAAACAAAAAATGGATCATATCGATACATTGAAAATATAGTTTTTTCATTTTTTATAAATGAAATGTATCAAAATATTCCAAAAAAAAAATTATATTTATGGTCTTAAGGCATGCCCTAAGTGCAAACATTAAGACAATTTTATATTATAATATCAATATTAATTGGGTGCATTTTGTTTTAGTATTTTTGAAAAAGTAAGAGTTGAGTAGTAATAACAAAGTAAGATTTAAAAATTAACAAAAACACTCTCTCGGTTTGTTAATTTATTGAACACCCCTGTAATAAAAACATTAAAAATTATAAAAACACCCCCATCCACCCATTAAATACCAACAGTCGGCCACCACCGCTAAAGGGTAGCCAGAGTCGCCGTATCGGCGCACAACCGGCTAGATCTAGCCGATCGTGTACCGAGATGGCCTTTTCCAATCAAATCAATTGATAGCCAGATCTGACCATGTTGAGTCATCAACGACAGCCAAGATATGGTCGTCATTGATAGATCTGGTATTTTTCGATGCACTACCGACCAGATCTAGCTGGTAGTGCGCCATTATACCAGATTTTGACCACCTTTCGACGGTGGTGGTCGGAATCTGGCAAATGTAGGTGATAGGAGTGTTTTTGTTAATTTTTAAACTTTTTAGGAGTGTTTAGTTAAATTAACAAACTTATAGGGTTTAAAAATAATTGAATAAAATACAATAATATTTTCAGAAAACAAATATGTATTTTGGAAATGATAGGAATAGGATAGGGGGAAAAATATGGAAACAGAAGTTATATATGGTTGACACAACTCAAAAGTACCGAAAAATAAGACTCTTACAAAGAATATATATAAAAGAATCAACTGAGAGGGATCTATTCTGACATTGCGTTACTTTCTCTGGTAGTTTGATGGAGATTACTGTGACATCCATTGCCTTCTGCTTGGCTTTCGCTATCATTTCAGGGTGTTTATGGACAGTGGCGAATTGGATTTGGTTGAGGCCAAAGAAGCTAGAGATGTTAATTAGACGACAAGGCTTCTCCGGAAATTCGTACAAGCTGTTTCATGGAGACATGAAAGAGATGTCGACGATGAGAGTACAAGCCAGAGCCAAACCTCTCAGCCTCACCCATGATATTTCTCCCAGAATTGTGCCATTCTTCCAACATGTCATCAACAAATACGGTATGCCTCATGTGCTTATAATTAATTAATTAAGATCTGATAATAATTAATTAACATGTTTAGTGAATGTTAATCAATGTCAATTAACTTATTTCAGGATCAGTTCTTTTGTAAGTTACACAATCTATAGACTTGATCAAACATATATTCCGTAAACTAACAACTTCAGGTATGGTGAATGATATGCAGGAAAGAATTCATTCATATGGATGGGTCCAAAACCAAGCCTAAACATCACAGACCCCAAATTGATAAGGGAAATTTTGTCCAAGTACGAAATTTTTGAAAAACCAAAGAGTAATCCACTAAGCAGGTTGGTTGTTCATGGGATGGTGATGTATGAAGGTGAGCAATGGTTTAAAGTCAGAAAGATTGCTACTCCAGCTTTCCATCTCGAAAAGTTGAAGGTATCTATATATAGTTCTATCGTTTGAAATTCAAGCAATAGTGAACACATTCACCATCATTGCATATTTTTAATGAGAGTTTTTGCAGGATATGTTATCAAAAATGTATTTGAGTTGTAATGACATGGTGAAGAATTGGAAGACTTCAATCTCAGGCAAAGACTACTGCGAGTTGGATGTATGGCCTCACATTCAAGCTTTGACAGCAGATGTTATTTCTCGGACAGCATTTGGTAGTAGCCATCAAGATGGAAGAAAAATATTTCAACTCATAAGCCAACAGATTAATCTTTTTACTCAAGTTATGCAGTCCGTTTACATCCCCGGATGGCGGTAATTGATTTCAACCAACTTAATTAAATTTATTTCTATTGTTTACTATTACAAGGCAATGATGAGTTTAGATCCTGGTCTTACACCTTGTGCTTGACAGAGCTTATATATGTGGATTGGGCGCCATACTCAGATTTAGTTTTTGAAAGTGAGTTTTACACAAACTCATTTATCATGGTATCAAAACCATACATTTCAAAACAATGATGAGTTTGGATCCCGACCCAAGACCGCGTATGAATGAGAGCTTTACCAAGCTATTATGGTGTATATACATGAATTACACCCGCATACTTTGAATTAGCTTTTGGGAATGGGTACCCAATTCCTTTTATCACTTACAACTTAGATATTGAATGAGTAAAAAAATTCAAACTTATGTGATTTGTTTTAAACATTTACAGGTTTATCCCTACAACAACAAACAGGAAAATGAAAAGCAATCACAATCAAATTAGAGCACTGATAAAAGGGATCATAGATAAAAAGGAGGCAGCCTTGAACGCTGGAGAAGCTAGCACAGACGATGATTTACTGGGTTTATCAGTTGAATCAAATCACAGAGAAATTAAAGAGCATGGGAACAAGAAAAGAGGAATGAGTATTGAAGAGGTGATTGAAGAGTGCAAACTTTTCTATCTTGCTGGACAGGAGACTACTGCATCTTGGCTCCTATGGACAATGATTTTGTTATGCATGCATCAAAATTGGCAAGAACGTGCAAGAGAAGAAGTTTTCCAAGTTTTTGGGAACAAAGAACCACGGTTTGATGAGCTGAACCAATTGAAAGAAGTAAGTGAACATGTATTCCGCCTCAACAAAATGTTTCCTCAGTAACTTATGTTGATCCACACTAACACATGAACATTAATTTTCAAAACCTTTGTTGCAGATAAGCAAAATTCTCCATGAGGCACTAAGGTTATATCCACCAGCATCTTTGCTAACAAGAATTTGTCATAAAGAGACCAAATTGGGAGAATTCATGATCCCAGTTGGAGTTATAGTTTCAATGCCGACAATTCTAGTTCATCATGATGAAGACTATTGGGGAGAAGATGCAAAGGAGTTCAACCCAGATAGATTTTCTCAAGGAGTTTCAAAGGCATCAAAAAATGGTCAAGTTTCGTTCTTCCCATTCAGTTGGGGTCCTAGAATATGCATCGGACAAAACTTTGCATGGTTAGAAGCCAAACTAGCTTTTGCAATGATTCTGCAAAACTTCTCCTTCCAGCTTTCTCCAACTTATGTACATGCCCCAGTTCGTGGCATAACCATACAGCCACAACATGGGGCTCACATTATTTTACACAAACTTTAGTAATAAACACTTACCTATCACAATAAAAAATACAGTTTGCCACAAAACCTTGTTTTTCTTCTTTTTGGTACATTATAGATCAAATTCTATAACAAGATTCCTAAATCCGTCAACAAAATTGCATTTTTTATATCCTCCAAATCACCACTGAAAAGTACTTAGATATATAGAAAAGTTGCTCGGCAACAAATCAAAAGTGCATAAAAATTAGGCTGCCAAAGCCAAAGAAAATCAAATTACAAAGATTCACTCTCAACCACTCTCCAATATGTGAATTAAGTCTCTTTGACTTTTAAGGAATGGGCTGGTTCTGGAAAACAAATCTCTCACCTATTCCATTGAAGCAAAAATAGCCTCAAAAATTATAACCCTTGCAGAAAGTCATAACTTATGGAATTCAATCAATTTCTTGTTAAAATTCTTATTAGATAAAAGAAAGAGAAAATTAAAATGAAAAATTTAGGACAGTTTCCTGAATTAAAAGTTAAAACATGAGTAAGAGACATGTAAAACCTTGAGGCTGTCCCAATTATCAACTTTAGGCCGGGTGAAATTGAGTTCCCACAATCTAAAATAAGCAAGAACCCATTTGGATCGGCCGAATAATAACCCAAAATCAAAAACAAAAAGAGTATATATCATGATAATTCATGTGGAAATGTATAATACCTTTCCTTATAATCGCAAGTAATAGAAGAAAGCTTGCAGAGAAAAGAAAGGAATTACGGGGTTTGTATATGCCGGCAACGGAACCACAGCGGCAATTTTACATAGCTCGCTGAGTTCTCTCAAAGGCAATGAGAAAAACCCTAGACCCACCTTGTTCCTATTTATAGTGAAGTAGGTTTCGAGGAATGGTCCCTTTTGCTCTTCCAAAGTTTAAGAAGGGCGCTAGGGTAAATTAGTAATCTCCACAAAATAGAATAAGATAAGACGAACTATTTCCCACCCAAAAAAATGACTTACTGACAAATTCATACCCACCCACATTTTAAATACCCTTTCACTACCCACAACACAATTTTTTTAGTAATTTTCACTGTAAGGAAGGGTAAAATGGTCAAAAGTCCACTATTAGTGAGGCCAGTATGGTGAACAAACATTTGGCTAAAATAAGAACTTTAAAATAACCTTCTACATCTCAAATTTCTCACAAGCAACCCTAACCTCCCTCGCGGCTGTCGGATTTCGACACCGTTGGACATCACTGCCACCACCACTAGCTTCCCCCACTCATCCCCAACAAAACCCATCCATCCCCCAGCCTCATCCGCCTCTATTTTGGCTAGATCTGAGCGATTTTCCCTCCCTCGCGATTGCTTGAAAAATCCAAATCTAGTTAGATTCCGACGCCATTGTACATCACCGCCACCACCAGCAGCTTCCCCCACTCATCCCCGGCAAAACCCATCCATCCCCCAGCCTCGTCCGCCTCTATTTTGGCTGGATCTGAGCGATTTTCCCTCCCTTGTGGTTGTCGAAAAAATCCAAATCTAGCCCAATTCTGATGCCGTTGGACATCACCGCCACCACCACTAGATTCCCCCACTCATCGCCAATAAAATCCATCCATCCCCCAACCTCTTTTGCCTCCATTTTGGCCGGATCTAAGCCTTTTCTCTGCGATTTTCCCCTCTTTCATGGCTGTCAGAAAAATCCAGATCTAGCCGGTTTCGGGCGCTGTTGGACATCACCACCACCAACACTAGCTTCCCTGATTCATCCCCAACAAAACCCATCCATCTCCTAGCCTCTTCCGCCTCTATTTTGGTAGGATTGAACGATTTTCCCTCCACAAGGTATATTAGGGTTAAAATGTAATTTACTTATGTATTTGTATCTTGTGTGTCCAAATATAACTGACCAAGGGTTTTTTAGAAAATCATTTTGTTTTCCACCCAAATCAGTAGAAAACCTAATATTTGGGTAGTAAAAAAATATTTTAAAAGTTTGAAAGTAAGAAAGCGTCAATAAACCATTTTTTGGGTGGGGAACATGTTGTTAACTCAAGATAAGACTGTTTAATTCACCATTATAAACATGTCTTAATTGTAAATTATTGTAGATAGAAATCTTATAAATTAAAAAATTTTAAACAAAGAAAAAGGATTTTAACCCAAACCAAACTGGTCTGTATTCCCTTCTGCACAATCTCACATCTCATATCATTCCTTGATCTAATCTGATTCTGTAAGGAAGGAATCCCATGTTTACGAAATTGTTTTGCAGGAATTAATTTTAAATGGTTCTCCATATCAGAAAACGCTGAGAATGTCATTTTTGTCGTTTCAAAAGTTAATGGTTGGTATATACTGTTTTCTCGAAACATTTTTGCAAAACAGTACCTACATATGTTTGGAAAGCAATCACAATCAAATTAGAGCACTGATAAAAGGGATCATAGATAAAAAGGAGGCAGCCTTGAACGCTGGAGAAGCTAGCACAGACGATGATTTACTTGGTTTATTAGTTGAATCAAATCACAGAGAAATTAAAGAGCATGGGAACAAGAAAAGAGGAATGAGTATTGAAGAGGTGATTGAGGAGTGCAAACTTTTCTATCTTGCTGGACAGGAGACTACTGCATCCTGGCTCCTATGGACAATGATTTTGTTATGCATGCATCAAAATTGGCAAGAACGTGCAAGAGAAGAAGTTTTCCAAGTTTTTGGGAACAAAGAACCACGGTTTGATGAGCTGAACCAATTGAAAGAAGTAAGTGAACATGTATTCCGCCTCAACAAAATGTTTCCTCAGTAACTTATGTTGATCCACACTAACACATGAACATTAATTTTCAAAACCTTTGTTGCAGATAAGCAAAATTCTCCATGAGGCACTAAGGTTATATCCACCAGCATCTTTGCTAACAAGAATTTGTCATAAAGAGACCAAATTGGGAGAATTCATGATCCCAGTTGGAGTTATAGTTTCAATGCCGACAATTCTAGTTCATCATGATGAAGACTATTGGGGAGAAGATGCAAAGGAGTTCAACCCAGATAGATTTTCTCAAGGAGTTTCAAAGGCATCAAAAAATGGTCAAGTTTCGTTCTTCCCATTCAGTTGGGGTCCTAGAATATGCATCGGACAAAACTTTGCATGGTTAGAAGCCAAACTAGCTTTTGCAATGATTCTGCAAAACTTCTCCTTCCAGCTTTCTCCAACTTATGTACATGCCCCAGTTCGTGGCATAACCATACAGCCACAACATGGGGCTCACATTATTTTACACAAACTTTAGTAATAAACACTTACCTATCACAATAAAAAATACAGTTTGCCACAAAACCTTGTTTTTCTTCTTTTTGGTACATTATAGATCAAATTCTATAACAAGATTCCTAAATCCGTCAACAAAATTGCATTTTTTATATCCTCCAAATCACCACTGAAAAGTACTTAGATATATAGAAAAGTTGCTCGGCAACAAATCAAAAGTGCATAAAAATTAGGCTGCCAAAGCCAAAGAAAATCAAATTACAAAGATTCACTCTCAACCACTCTCCAATATGTGAATTAAGTCTCTTTGACTTTTAAGGAATGGGCTGGTTCTGGAAAACAAATCTCTCACCTATTCCATTGAAGCAAAAATAGCCTCAAAAATTATAACCCTTGCAGAAAGTCATAACTTATGGAATTCAATCAATTTCTTGTTAAAATTCTTATTAGATAAAAGAAAGAGAAAATTAAAATGAAAAATTTAGGACAGTTTCCTGAATTAAAAGTTAAAACATGAGTAAGAGACATGTAAAACCTTGAGGCTGTCCCAATTATCAACTTTAGGCCGGGTGAAATTGAGTTCCCACAATCTAAAATAAGCAAGAACCCATTTGGATCGGCCGAATAATAACCCAAAATCAAAAACAAAAAGAGTATCTATCATGATAATTCATGTGGAAATGTATAATACCTTTCCTTATAATCGCAAGTAATAGGAGAAAGCTTGCAGAAAAAAGAAAGGAATTACGGGGTTTGTATATGCCGGCAACGGAACCACAGCGGCAATTTTACATAGCTCGCTGAGTTCTCTCAAAGGCAATGAGAAAAACCCTAAACCCACCTTGTTCCTATTTATAGTGAAGTAGGTTTCGAGGAATTGTCCCTTTTGCTCTTCCAAAGTTTAAGAAGGGCGCTAGGGTAAATTAGTAATCTCCACAAAATAGAATAAGAGAAGACGAGCTATTTCCCACCCAAAAATGGCTTATTAACAAATTCATACCCACCCACATTTTAAATACCCTTTCACTACCCACAACACAATTTTTTTAGTAATTTTCGTTGTAAGGAGGGGTAAAATGATCAAAAGTTCATTATTTGTGAGGCCAGTATGGTCAACAAACATTTGGCTAAAATAAAAATTTTAAAATAACCCTCGACATCTCAAATTTCTCACAAGCACCCCTGACCTCCCTTGCGGCCGTCGGATTTCGATGCCGTTGGACATCAAAGCCACCACCACTAGCTTCCCCCACTCATCCCCAACAAAACTCATCCTCCCCCAGCCTCGTCCGCCTCTATTTTGGCCAGATCTGAGCGATTTTCCCTCCCTCGCAATTACTGGAAAAATCCAAATCTAGTCGGATTCCGACGCCATTATACATCATCGCCACCACAGCAGCTTCCCCCACTCATCCCCAGCAAAACCCATCCATCCCCCAGCCTCGTCCGCCTCTATTTTGGCTGGATCTAAGCGATTTTCCCTCCCTTGTGATTGCCGGAAAAATCCAAATCTAGCCCAATTCCGATGTCGTTGGACATCACCGCCACCACCACTAGCTTCCCCCACTCATCGCCAATAAAACCCATCCATCCCCCAACCTCGTTTGCCTCCATTTTGGCCGAATCTAAGCCTTTTCTCTGCGATTTTCCCCTCTTTCATGGCTGTCAGAAAAATCCAGATCTAGCCGGTTTCGGGCGCTATTGGACATCACCACCACCAACACTAGCTTCCCCAATTCATCCCCGACAAAACCCATTCATCCCCTAGCCTCGTCCGCCTCCATTTTGGTAGGATTTGAGCGATTTTCCCTCCCTTCCGGCTACTGGAAAAAGCAAGGTACATTGGGGTTAAAATGTAATTTATTTATGTATTTGTGTCTTGTGTGTCCAAATCTAAATGAAACCAGGGGTTTTTTAGAAAATCATTTTGTTTTCCACCCAAATCAGTAGAAAACCTAATATTTGAGTAGTAAAAAAGTATTTTAAAAGTTTAAGGGTAAAAAAGTCTCAATAGACCATTTTTTGGGTGGGAACATGTTGTTAACTCAAGATAAGACTGTTTAATTCACCATTATAAACATGTCTTAATTGTAAATTATTGTAGATAGAAATCTTAAAAATTAAAAAATTTTAAACAAAGAACAAGGATTTTAACCCAAATCAAACTGGTCTGTATTCCCTTCTGCACAATCTCACATCTCATATCATTCTTTGATCTAATCTGATTCTGTAAGGAAGGAATCCCATGTTTACGAAATTGTTTTGCAGCTTAATTAAAATTTACCAAGAGGTATAGTCTTTTGCGACTCTTACAGTAAAAACAGCAAAGTTTTCAATTACCAACCATATATGACAAAAGAGCTTTGTAAAAACGTTTTGTCATGGATGTATACTTTTTGTTGATTTTAGAAATCAAAAAAAAAAAAAAAAAAAAATGAAAACCATCTCATTGTCACTATTCATCAATCATCAGATGCTTGAAACACAATCTTTGATACAAAGAAAAATGGAGATAAGAAACAATGTTTGGAGTTAAAATTTAAATCATACTACCATCTACATTATTAGACACATCAAAGTTAAAAACTGATATGTAAGGTCAAAGATTGGTGAACCGCCAAAATTTTCAAATAACCTGAGCTTACAATGTACAGCCACTTCTAACATGTATTTACATACATTACTAAGTGTCAGATCCTCGATAATCATTCTTCTATACCCTAAAACACAATTCCTGAAAGTTCAAACAAAAAGTAGAGTTCAAAATAATGTATAGAATCTAACCGAAATCAAATACCAAAGAAAATGCAGCAGATGACAATTAGAGAATAGTAGGTGTCATTTATCTAATAAACTTTGATAAATGTATTTCGAGGAGCCTGACCAAAGATGGGAATAAAGAAATGGATAAAACCAACACCCTCAACAATATGAAAATTACACCTCAAAATTAGTTGAGAAAATCCATAAAAATAGCCTTTGATGTTATCAAGAAGAGAGATGATCTTCCTAACAGTTGTGGTTGTTTGGGATTATGACGGGTGCCCTCTATACAGCTCAGAGACAAATATATGGTGGGGAAGGGAGACAGAAACCAACTTTCAATAATTCAAGATCTTGAAGAATTTGAAATATAGAACTCAGAATTAGATAAATGTCATTTGATATTGCATAAAAGGTTGTGCAGGGCATTTGATCATAGTGAACCCTTAATTACTTGAATTGTTTAAGTCTAATATCATTTTCATAATTAGACCTATTTGAGATTCTGTGTGCCAAACAGATCCTATCTGGGGCAAGAAGGTCTTACATGATCATCTTCTCAAGATTTAAACTGATTTGATCAAAGAAAAGAAGGAAGAAAGAAAGCAAAATAGACTAATAAGATAGGTTGAGAATTCAAAGGGGCAGCCTGGACACAGATCTCATCAAATAGCAAAAAACAGAGGGAAAGAGGAAAAGGTGAAAGCCTTATAGCAATGCTATGCAGAGAAGAGTTCACTAAAAGAACAATCAAATTCTACTAGTTTGCTGTAAATCATCATAATAGTTAAACAAAATGTTGAAACACGTTTATATTTAAACTATTTAAATATATAGGGCTAACTTCAACCACTTTCTGCAAAATCAAATCCCACATGAGTAATAAGTGAGTACTTTAAATTCACAAAATAACTGATCTTGGGGGGGAAATAGACATAGAAATCACAATCACTTTTCAAACACCTGAAATCCATAATATTTGCTAACAAACCATCCAACAAGCTCTAATTTAAAAATTAATCCAACTGATCAAGATTTGGCACACATCAAGAATAATAAAAAAAAAGAAAAGAAAAATCCTGAATATATACCTTCAATTGGGATTATCATCCAGTTCAAGGTCCTAATCGTCCAAAGCTGTCAGGTGGCCATACCTGATGAACAAAGCACATATGATTACATGATCTGAATAAGTTCCAAACTACAGTCCCGATTCATGAATCAAGAAGTTCACTGAGACACAAATTACTCTATACAGATCTATAAAATATGGGAAACGATCAGAAAGGATCGCTTTTGTTCATGCACAATAACCTCTATGTTTATGCAAGTAAAGTCTATATGTTGACACATATATCTACAATTTGTTATTACAAGTCACATTTATCAACATAAAGTCAATCTTTAAATGCTAAATTCTAAAATCATCCATAAACCTGAGATATATATATATATGGAAATGAAACCTTTTAAAGCTCAAATAACTAACCACCAGTAACCTAAGTGCATCTATTCCAGATACAATGTCACAAGGGGATTCTCAACCCTTTAAAATGTTTATTATTCATTGCCAAAGTCTCAATACCCCATTTCGTAAGGCTTTAGTTGACAAAATATATAATCAAAATCCAAAACCAAAATCCTGAACCTAGAAACAAATACTTTAATGCGACTACAAAAGCTCTAAACTCATGAAATAAAAAAAATAAAAAAAACACATCAACCAATTTAATTCAGTCACTAGAACAACAAATTTCTCCCCATCTTGAGTACCACAAGCTTATTGCACAAATTGCATTAATTCTGTGACCAAACAGAACAAATTAATAAAGGTGGTTAAATAGCAAAATGTCAATGAACTCGAGTTCAAAATATTCCTTATCTTCAAGTCAACCCTAACAATTTGGGGCGCTGTTGGTATTATGAACAACTGGTCTTAGTTAATACCAGGTCATAACACAGGTTTTACTAAGTTAACAAGCAGCTGTCTCATTTTATTTTTCTTAAGTTTTGACATAATGAAAACTGCTGATATGACTTTCTTTATTTTCATATTTTGATCTCAAATTATTCCCAGTCCCTAATTCAATACACAGCTTCTACCCTTTCACAATCAAATTATCATCAAACAAATACAAGAAAACATGCATTTTATGTCCTACATCATTATATCACATCATGATTTTTCCCTTCCCAGTACAATATTTCTGAAAAAGTGATGGTAATTCATAACAATTTTGATCTCATAAAACTATGATCCTAATTATGACAAGAAAAAGAAAGCCAACCGAAAAAAATTAGATAAGAGTACCCTGAAAAATGCTTTCCCCTGAATTAGACCATAAGGAACAGGCCCAAAATATCGAGAATCATTGGAGGCATATATGTTATCCCCTTGAATCCAAACATGCCCCTTTGGAACCTGTCCATCAAAATCCGAAAATATAAAACAACTTAATCTATTTAGAAGCAATGAAAATATGACAGAAAAGACAAAGAGTGGGTTGAACTGCAACATCCACAGTGTTAAATTTAATACAGAACATAAAGCCATTATTTACTTAAGAAAGGAGAGAGAGAGAGAGAGAGACGTAGAGAGTAATCAATTATAAGAAAACAAGAGGCTTCCCTAGCTATATAACTTCACATTTTATACGTATTAGATATTGGTATTCAATTACATTAAAGGGTGGGAGCAATAAACTAATACGTTTGCAGGTCCCCCATCACCATAAAACAGAGCAATTTTGTTAACCATGAATAAGAGACAAGAGACTACCCATAGCAACTGGCCAACATACCATTTTATGTCTTAAACCCCCATTCAAGCATCCAGTCTATAACACCCATAGAAATCTTGGTCATTTAGCTACACCCACCCAACCAATCCATCTAACTAGCTTCATTAGTGTAATACACCTAAATTTTATTGATAGATTATTTCAAACCGCTTAATAACCACTTTAGTTGCTTCCTGATAACTTCTCTCTTGATAACCCCATACTAATTCTTGAGCTATGGTAAGAGATAATTTTTAGAGAATTACTAACATGGTTATGGAGCACTTTCGAAATAAATTATCAATAAAAAATAAAGGTATTACATTTTAGTTGGAACTTCAAACCTTTTTAAGAAGTTACACATTAAATAAACATAAGTAGAATTTTAACCTAGTTACTAAGAAGATTACTCTTCCTTTTTTAAACACCTGCCAGATTTTCAACATAACTTCAAGAGCTATCAATCTCAATGATCCATATCCTCTAACTATAAATTCTCTATCTTGTTTACTCTTACTTTGATTAAATTACCTATCTGACATACTTGAATTCAATTTTCTCATTCAAACAGTCATATTTATATATCAGTAAACCATCAATTACGCTTAACATTACTCAGGCATAAAAAATTAAGAAAGAAAATAAACGCACCACGACGGTTCGACATATGTCACCACTCAAAGGATCATAGAACGTGACTCGATCACCTTCAAGACCAAGAATGCGCTTGGTAACGATCTTTAGCGGGTCCGTTGGTGATCGGACGAGCACGATGTCACCTGGACCTACTCGTCCCAAGCGGTAGGACACCTGTTCCGATAATATGACGTCTCCGGTTAAGTTCAACGTCGGGAGCATGCTAGGACCGTACGCCTACACACACCAGATCATATTTAAAAACCAAAAAAAAACAAAGAGTGTTTGAGAAGAAGAGACAACTTAAGTGAAAGAGTGGTGTACGAACGAGTGTAGGGGAGCATAGGTACTTGTCGGTGACATGGAGCAAACAGAGAAATCTGGCCACTGTTGAGATTTGATTTAGGGCTTCTTTAGCTACGGATATCCATTGTCGCATCTCTTTCTTCTTCCTCCAGCTCCGATTTGCGCAGTTTAATTTAAATTTTGAATGAAAACGACCGCGTTTCTGCTTAGAGTGGACGGTTTTACACTGGGCTCATAAACTTTTATAATTAATAGTATGGGCCAAGGCCCGTAACTTCTCTTCTTCTTTTTCCAAAAAGTAAATAAATAAATAAATATATATATATATATATATAATATTAATTGTTTAATTGATTTTATTAAACTCTCCCTAGGTATCAGTAAATAATAATTTTCCCCCTTTATACATCATGAATAATAAATTTACTGTATATTGTTAGTATTAGTTAGGGTTTCACTGTTTAATTGAACTGATTAAGTATAAAATGTATTAGTAAATATCTGAAACATTAACTATAACGGTAAATTGTTACTTCAGGGGAAATTATTCTTTTATGATGCCTTAGGAGGAAATTATAGTGAACTCTTGTAAATTTTAGCGAGTTTATGGATTAATTTCCAACTCACTCCAGCATTTTCATGCCACATGTCGGCTTTATGTGCATTAATCTCATATTTACATCTAATAATTCTTTTTTGATCCTCCATCCTCAACTGCAAATTCTAGTTCAAAACTAGAATCTTCGTTGAACCCCCCGGTCTTTGGAAAATGGAAAACAACGGTCTTTGCCAGTGAAGATTCCCAAAAATAATTGATCCTTGACATGAATATAATCGTACTCGTACACTTATATATAATCTCGCATCTAAAGAAACTTTCAATAAAATCATCAAAAATTTAAAAAAAGAAATTATAATCTTCAAGAGGATACAGGAATTTTGTAGTAAACGCTTAGCATAAGGCTTTCAAAATCAAAATGACTGCCTTGCCTTTAAGTGTTCATTAGATAGTTACTGTTGTTCCATTGTCACATCACAATCCAATTATTCTAATTTATGTTGCCTTGCCTGTATAACAGTAAGCATTAACCCCCCTAACATACTGCAAAAGCTTCTACAAATGGTGATCCTGGATTTTTCGCTTACAAGCCGAACATTTTCAAGCATCAAAACAAGAATTAGCTACTTCGGTCAAATTCTTCCTCGAGTTTAACCAGGTAACTATTCGTCCTCTAAACTTATTTACTAGGGGGGTGTGTGCAGCAGTGTGAGCTCTATCAGTGATGTATTTACATGACAGTATACAGCAGTCTGAGCTAAAACCGTAGCTTGTACTATTATTTGACTAAAAAAAGGTTACAGGAAGAATAACATGACATTATTGATGAGCTCAAAACTTTGCTGTACAACAATGGGAGTAAATTATATCCAAATAAAAAATGTGTGCTTGAACAAACAATATTATGAGCTGGGGTCATAGCTCAATACCTTTTATGATATACAACTGGTTATAAGCAGCTTGTCTTCGGGTAACCCACTAAGGTTCGACAAGAGTGCATGTCATACTAGTAGAGATTTTAGTTATTTTCCTTGTAAGCAACTCGTCGAGGATGGTTTTCAATTAGGAAGTAGCTTGTACTACGAAATACTTTTAACTAAACGATTCGTTCAAGATTAAACAACACCATTTCCTCAAGGCCTGATCGAAAGGCACTTCGAGGCAGATTTTGGAGATTCTGGATTGCAAGATCGGCCTTCTCTTTTGCTAATTCTTGTGCTCTCTCAATGCCTCCGCAAGTCTTTACCAATTCAATGGCTTCTTCAAGGGAACCTGTCTCACAGAATTCGGATTCAATAATCTCTCTCAATTTTGGCACTTTCTCTAGAGCAAAAATTACCGGTGCAGTCAGGTTCCCTTTTGCCAGATCACTGCCAGCTGGCTTCCCCAGCTGCTCTGCCGACTGAGTGAAATCCAATATGTCATCAACTACTTGGAAGGACAGACCAAGATTTTTACCGTATTCATACATTTGATTTGTCACACTACTATCAACCCCACTAAAAACAGCAGCTCCCTTGGTACTAGCAGCAATTAAGGAGGCTGTTTTATAGTAGCTCTTGAGTAGATATTCTTCAAGTTCAACGTCACAGTCAAACAAGCTAGACGCTTGCTTTATTTCACCACTTGCAAAATCTTTAATAACCTGTCACAATACTTAGGTTGATAAGCATGAAACTAATTCAACAAAAATATCACAAAGTGCACCTACTTTATGGCGCCCCAAAATGTAATTTGAGAATTGACAGGCTTTATAAAACACAGAACCATCAAAAAGTGGATACTGAACTTTTTGGACAAAAAGTGATGGAGTGTCAGGATACCTGACTAATGAGCTTAATCACTTCAAGATTTTCAAGATTTGCGAGGTACCACGAAGACTGAGCAAACATGAAGTCCCCAGCCAGTACCGCTACTCTTGTGCCATATATTTGGTGAACAGTTTCCTTCCCTGCATATAAAGAGCAATTAGTCCAAATTATGTGAAGAGATAAAAGTTTGAATGTAAGGGGAGAAACCATAACATGTCAGAGATACAAAATGTGGTAGCACAACTGACATGAAATATACTGGTTTACAACGGTAGACCAAGTATCACTGATAAAGCCGAAGTCACAAGGAAAGAGAAGGGATTTATCATGGACTATACCATCAATTGATTACATTTACAAATTTCAGAATACAATACACATAAACAATCGATTTTAAGTACCCAGAAGGATTATTACAGCAAGTATGTCCCCAAGATCTTGACATGATCTTTTTTCTTTTTTTAATATCTGAAAATGCCTCAAATGTTTGCTAAGTTCATCGAGTTCTATATTTAGAACTACATCCAGATTCTACAATCTTCATAGCTCAGGAACTGGTAGAATAGTATCCCAAGTATGTGACCCCAGTGGGATTTTAATCCTAAACCTCTTAGTTGAAACCGAGGACTTTTACCACTTAGCCCAACCCTAGGGGTTAATATGATTCATGTGATTTATTTCACACTGCTCCTTTGCCATCCTTCAAAATAACGCTAAAATTAGGAGCAAAGCCCAAAATTAGGTTATAGAAGCTAACACATTGGTTTCTACAGACAAAATTAATCACTAATCATTAAAGTGTTCATATGGCCTAAAAGAGAACACCAAACGTTGCAGATGAAAATTTGTTAACTTGTAACAAATTAGATACATAGGAAATCTATGTTAATCAAACTTCAAGGTACCGATACTTGACAAATATATTAGGTGCATTTGGACACTCCAAAATGCAACAAGCTGCAGATATCTGTTAGGTTTTTGCTTATTAGGAGTATAAAGACTGGAACAGCAGAAAAAGGCATCTATAACATTTTTATAAAAGATCTTGATGTAACACATACCTCTTCTCATGTCACTTTCATCTAATACATCATCATGTATTAAGCTTGCAGTATGGATCATCTCAATGATCTCGGCTAATCGACGATGCTCTGTAGTAAGATCACTGAAAGAAAGCAGTACACAATGAATCTCCGATTTGTTTTACAGAATTTCATGAGTTAACAAACAGTTCTGAATATTGCTTACTTCAATCCAACCATTTCTGCTGTTGCTCTTGACACCAGGAACACCAAAGCTGGTCTCATTCGCTTACCACCAGCACCAAAGATCTGCTCAGCTGCAGACATAAGAACTGGGTTTTCTGCACCAACAATCTAACAAAGCATCATCATCAGATATACAATTTACAATTCAATAAGAAAATAAAAATATACTCAGCTTCAAGTATAAATGGTGCACTAGTCGTGCAATTGCAAATGGATTATCATAAATATAACCACAGGAACATAAAAATGAGCTACATAATAAAACACAAAGGGTTAAACAGGTATCAAGGGCCACTCTTACTTTCATCAACATATGTTCAATAAATTGCAAAACACATGAGACCTTTACTCAATCAGAAGCAAAATATTACGCTTAGTCAGCTATGAGACACCATCATTAAGTAATAGCAGCTGCACTTGCTAAACTAACTAACCTAAAGTAGCGTCTAAGAAAAATATATCAAAGAGAACGACAGAAATGAATACAACATGAAGAAATCAATGGACCAGACCCAGAGTCTTATCTGAAGAGACAATACAACTAAGAACAACTCCATATTATATGCAATATTAATGTTAGTATCAAGAAATTAATTTGGTGCAGTAAAAACCTCTACCACAATGGCTATTACCCCAAATTCCAGCAGAAGTTAACAGCATTCAATTGAATAAGAGACCTTTCTTCTATTTTATTCAAACTGAATTTCATCTTTCATATAAGAGCAAACTGTAATTGAGCTCAGCAGGCACCAGTCAATATTCACAAAAAACAGAAGTAAAACACTAGCTTCAGCTTTAAATTGTTTTAAACAAAAACCTTCTCCATAGCATTAAAGCATACTTAATAACAATACATAACATCACTCCAAAAGTAAAAGATAAGTAGCTTTCTCACACTAGACAATATCAAAAACATTTTCAAAGAAACACTCACCGATTGGAGATTTTGATTGAGAGTCCGGAGGTCATCAGCAACCACTTCAAATACGTTTGACAGTGAAACTGGACTTCTTGCCTCTTTCTTCAAATCCAGAACTGGTGGCGGACCTTGACTAACCCCTGTATTAATTCCACAAGTAAACCAAATTCAATAACTTGCCATCATAACAACAACAAAAACAATTAAACTTTATTAAAACAAATTGAAACTATCTTATACTAATACAAACACGGCCATTACCAAGCTATTAAAACAACAAACACCAATACAACGGCAATAAGGAAGACAACATATTGGATAAAACCAATTAGTAAATCAACTAAAAACAACACTTAGCCATCAAAAAACACTACCATTAAGCAAAGTTTCAGGTGTTTTAGTGGAATAAACCCGGCACCGAGCAAGGTTTTGCTTGCAAAAGACCAATCTTTTAGCACCAAAATGTCTACTACTTCTCCTAGAAACACTCTTTGCATAACTTCTAACCCAAGACCTATCAATGGAGGCATTAGAAGAACACCCACAAGCCACCAAATCAAGCACACTTCTTCCAAAATCAAGATTGCTGCATGTCATTGACATCATTCTCAACAAACAATTCCCAGAAAGCCAATGAACAAAAAAGCCACCAAATTTCAAGAACCCAGGTAGAAAATCAAGCTGAAACTCCCATTAACAATAAAAACAACACCAAATCACCAACTGGGTAGTGAACAAAACATGAAAAAGAATAAAAAAAAAAGTCCGAATAAGGGATTTGCGTGTTAAGTTTTACTCTTCATAATGAACTCAAATGGGGTATTAATATTGAGTGGTAGAATGAAACCCACATAGGACATAAAAACATGTGTTATTATCAGTAGAGAGAGGTGAGTTGAGACTTGGGTTTTGTCAGGGGTTGGACAAGAGATTTTGTGCTGTTCACTTGTTTCTTTAAATGTATGTAAGAAAGGACATGAATGAACAGACCTTATCTGTGAGTCAATATCAAATCCGTTCCATGCCAAATTGTTTAGCTGGTGGTCAAAATTGAAGGACGTAATGTTAAAGTCTCAACCTTTATTTATTTATTTATTTATATAACTGGTTTTAGTTTTTGTGTTTATTTTTCAGCCATTCACTGTTTGGTCGATCCTTGGAATATCTTATTTTGCTTTCTGTGTGATGCGCTTAATGGTTCTAAAATTATGGTTTAATTTCTTTTAAAAAATTTAAAAAATCTGATGAATTTCAAGAAATTTCAGAAAAGGATTGTTCATCAAATTTAAAAGGGGTTCATGATTATTCTTAAAATGTGGGATTTGTATAATTAGATTAATCGTTGAAGAATGATAACATTTTGCTCCTTGCATCATAAGCATCTTTATCATGTTATTAAAATGAACTTTAGAAATTTATATAAATTATATATATTATCTAATCTTGTTGATGTAAGAAAATCATATTAATAAAGTCTATTTTTATAATTGTTAAGAAGAGAAACAAAATTATTTTGAATTTAAGAAATTAAAAAACAGAAAGAGACATCAAAACAAGATATAAATGGGTGAGTATGAATTTTAACATGAATGTTTTTTTTTTTTTTTGGGTTAAATTGTCATGAATTGTGGGATGGGCAATTTGTTTTCTTTGAAAAAATGTGGTTTAGAGGTTAAAAGAATTAATATTTTTTTTTTTTAGTGATCAAGAGTATCTGCATCTTGCGCACACCTCGACAAATCCTTTACGACCCTGAAATTAATATAGATATACTCTTCTAATATAATTATCCTTATTAGTAATTGAGAGGAATGAAAATCAAAACCCCTAAAGTCATGGAAAGTATATATATATAAATATCAATGTTAAATAACATAAAATAGATTAAAAAATTCAATTTGATTAAAAAAAAAAACTTGGTTTTTAACCAAATCTCACCTAGACAGCCAGACTGCAACTCAGCCTATTTTAAAATCTATCTTAACTTATCCATAAATTTTTTAAATTGTTGTAAACCTAGCCTAGCCTAGCTCTATTGGAGATGACATAAATAAATGATCGGATTATTATAGAATCTCTATAGTTATAATGTTGAACCAACTAAATTTATTACTATAAGGAGGTTATAACCAGTGATAGATTCAGAAATTTTTACTAGGGTGGGCTAAAGTAAAAATTAATTATACGGTAATACTTTTATCTATTAATATTTTTGTTAGGGTGGGACAAAATATATAAATTATACATATTAATATTTAAAAAAAAGAATTTGAGAGTGGGTCATGGCCCACCCAAAAAGTGGCTGGATCCACCCCTGGTTATAACTTAATAGGGGTGTAGTTACAAGAATTATTGTTTTGATAGTATGCAAAATGAATATGAAAGAGTCATTATAAAATAAGTGATCAAATTCAACAACTTCACTACACTAATCAAATAGATATTAATATATTCTTTAACCATCCAAATTAGCAACAAGTCGTTCATGCTTTAACTGAAGAAGGAATCATTATTGGAATTAGACAATAAGAGGGAGGAGATAATCCTGATGATGAATATAGTACAAAAATACCAAAAGTTTTATGCCAAGAAGCTTCAGGCATGCAGTTATAAATATTTTGGCTTCAACAAGAAGGTGTTTATGTTGGCGACTTATTACATATCTGCAAGATAAAAGATATGGTAATAACTCTAAAACATAAATCATTGTCTCAAACAACTTTAGTTAAATATTTTATTTCATCTTAAACATTTAATGTAACATAATATATATATTTTTATAATATACATACAATTATTACTATGTATAAATAAATTTCTTAAGGCGAAACTTAAAAAAATTATAACTTGATATAAATTTTATTCTTATTTATAATATGTCTAAGTTGGAACCAAATTTTTTTTTTTTTATGATTACATGAAAATTATTTCTATACCAATATCAGTAACTACAGCGTAATATTTTAACTCACTTCAAAACTTGAGTATAATAATACAATATATTTTATATTTTCTTGGGAGTATGGCCAGTATATTCTGGATGATACATGAGAATCCAATAATTTCGAATTTAAAAAAATAAATGTAGTTGTAACATTGTCTCAATTCTCAAGCTTGATTTTTAGACAGTCATATCAAGTGGGTCAGACCAAATCTTCATTTCAAAATATTATTTCAATTAAATACGTACAATATATAATTTATATATATACTTCATTCATCCATTAGGGTCTACCTGCCAGTTATTTTGGATGGGTAGATTAAAATTTAAAAAAAGATTTTAAATTAAATTGTAATAATTAATAAATAAGGGGGTCAGATCTTGTCTATGTTTGAATATTTTTATTGATTTTATTATTGAAATACTGAAAAGATCACTATTAATTATGTAAGCATACACGTGATGATTTGGTTGTTGGTGAAGTGGAATATTATACTCTGATTAACATTACTTAATTTAGTTGTTTACATATAATTAGTTACAAAATCTGATAGCTTAACAACTAATGTTACCTGGGGTATTATTATTTGGAGGATATTTATTTTTTTAAATAAAAGAAAAATAATACAAATTTTATTTGTATCAATAAACGGACACATTTATCATTTAAATGACATTTTTAAAATATGTATATGAAAAAGTGTCTATTTATTTAAACAATTGTTCATTTATTAGTTAAATAGTATTTGAATTGATAAATGTATCCATTTATTGATACAAATAAAACTTGTATAATTTTTTATTTAATTTTTAAAATAAATATCCTCCTATGGATAATAACTCATGTTACATAAATCCAGAATTAAAGGACTCATAGCCCATGAAATTTACTTTTATAAGCATATATATAAATAAAATATGTAATGTATAAAAAATAAAAAAAAGTTTTAGATAACATATATATCATGTATATATTTTTATATCAAAACGTACAAGTGACATTTATATTTATAAACATGTATAGCATCTTATATATAAAAGGAAAGTCATAGGTGAGACAAACATACCTCATCATCTATACGCTAATCTAATAAAATCTCATCACGTATATTTATTTTAAATTTCGTTCATCTAATCATTTGATTAGAGATTTTTAAAATAAATCCATATATGATGTAATTCTATTCAATAGGTGTGTATAGGTGATATAATACGTCCGTCCCAACTAAAACTCTCTCTTTATGTCAAAACGCATAAGTGCTATGTTTAAGAGAGCGTATAAATACCTCATAGCTCATATACATAAAAAGAAATCTTAAATGAAATAAATATATGTATAAAAATTCAATCTCATATAAATTTAAAATAAAAATATATATGATAAAATATTATTAGATAAATATATAGATGACGTAATACGCTCGTCCCACCTAAGACTTTTCTTTTATAAATGCACAAGTAATATGTTCATAAACATATATAAATGTCTCATATAAAGAGAAAGTTTTAGGTGAAACGAACATATCACATCATCTATATATTCATCTAATAAAATCTTATCACATATATATTTATTTTAAATTTCATTCCTCTAGGTAATGTAATATACATTTATCTCACCTAAAACTTTCTTATAATTTCTATTATTAAATAAACTGTATTCTGTATTAACTTGACAAAAAATGGATGTATAAAAAAAATATAGAATTTAACTAAATTTAGGATGAAAATTAAGAAAAGTGGAGGCAATGAAAAAGAAAACGTTTTCACTCAACCTGCAAATTAGAGTTTGTTTTGCTGTTTCTAAACAACAATATATTGCATCTATTAGAGAATTACAAACTACTTTCATTAATTCATAGATATTTAACAACTAATTAAATTACCCTAAAAATTATATTTTTCAAGGCCAACTTCACTTTCTTACTCCAACTACTATGCATAGATGCAGTTACCATAACCTGCAAATCAGCCAAAACACCTTGTCTTACTTCCCAATCTCAGGCATGAATATGATTTTATTGGATAGACATAATTCAACTTACTTGGATTTGTGACGACAACGAGAGCAGAGTTCCTGAAGTCGCAATTCCAGTGGTTCCGTCCATAAGCTTGGTAGTAGAGATTCATGGCTATGGAGGCGCGGTTCATTAGATTATCCGGAGTGCTGCAAGGGCAACCTTTCTGCAAAATTCCGCAATCGACATGAGCGCATGCATAATTGATATTTGCGAGAAGAGAGGCCTGGTCCGAGGAAGGCTTTGCCACACACCATGTTTTCTGCAATATTGCAAATTTCAAATTCACAAATCCATTCATAAAAGAAGTTCGTTAACTTAATTATTAATTTTATCTTTTATTGGGGTTAATAAGTTTGATTTTACCTGCTGCTGCTGTCCATTAGTCCAATTAGTCATAGCCAAAGAATCTGATAAGAATAATTAGAGGCTTATAATTTGATAGGAATAATAATTAACAACAAAGAAACTGAGAGTTTTGACGTAACGTAATAGTTTGATAACATAGTGAATTATTGACTAATAACTAATGATTATGGAATTTTTCTATTCTATCGATTCAATAACGTTAGCAATATTTGATAATTATTGGATCGACATGAATCCTGTTACATTATTTAATATATCGATCAAATGATTATCAAAAGTCGATAACATTATCCGATAACATAACCCACAATTACATAACAATTAAACAACAACCAAAATAAGAAAAAGGCGAAACATGACAAACAATTAAAGATGTCAAGACAAGACTTTCAATAAGGAGGAGTGCTAGCAACAATCCTGAGTACGATTATGTTAACTGTCTTCGAAACACATCCATTTTAAATGAAATAAGATAAAAAAAAATGTGAGAAAACCAATAATTGCCGCATTCATGACTCCCGACTAACACTCCTCTTTCATAAAAGTTAACCTGACTTGACATTGAGCTAAATTTGAAAACAAGCAGAAAGCAAAAAGGGGAAAGAATGCAAATAAAGCAACTTTTGATGGTACGTAAGTACAGTAGAATTAACAGGAAAGTAAACTGAAATGCAGGAGTTGAAAGAGAGAGTAACGAAAATACCTGAAATGAAAGAGAAAGAGAAAGAGAAGTAGAAAAGGAAGAAGAACGCTGATTTAGGCATTGTTTTGGAAATGAATGAAAAGAAAGGAAGGGAGAAGGGGGAATTTAAAGAGAGGGGAAAAGGTGAGTGGTAACGGCTACATTCATAGAGTGGAGAGCCGTTTGAGTTAGGACACGGAAAGAGACGAAGAATAAAAGAGGCGAAAAGGCAGGCGCCCACGTGATGCTGACTTATCATTGTTCTCCTGCCGTTGGATCATTCTTGAATTAAATGCTAATAATTTATGGTGGGATTTTGCTGCCATAAAAGTTTATAACTCAAGGGCTTTCCAATTAGCATAATTACTTGTGAAAAATGATTTTTTTAGTCCTCCATGTTTAAAGATTGAAATTACCAGAGTACCCATCACTTTATTTATTAAAAAATAATAATAATAAATATAATAACAATAGTAAAATGAGAAATTAAAGTGACAAGTATGGAAGATGAAAGTAAGGTGTATGGCCTTACGATTCTTTATGTTTGGGCTTTTCTATTTCAATATTTCTATTTTATTTTTATGTATGAAGTATTTTTATCTATTAAGTTTCCCTAATAATCTTAGGATATTAGTGTCTTTTGTAGCCTTATGACATAAATATTTTCGTTCAACAAAAATAAGTTTCTTTGATTTCTCCTGGTAGTGTTAAATCTCTCTTTCATCATAGGTGGTGAAATATCAATTTAGTCCCTATAAAGTTTGATTTAGTCCAATTAGGTTAAATTGTTTTTGTTTAGTCCGTTTAATTTTGTTAAGTTTAGTCCTTACTTGAAGAGTGCGTTCAAGAAATGTTAGATTACTGAGAATGTTATATTAATAGAAAGTTAAATTATCTTAAAGATTATTGGGAATCTTTAGGAAAATGTGTTTGGTTAGTTGGAATAAATTGGTGGGTATGTTATATTAATATGTTTGGTTGTGAGGAATAAATTGGTGGGTATGTTATTTTAATTACTAAATTGCTAATATTATTTTTATTATTAATTTTTAAACAATTTCTTTTAACCCTCAACATTTCAGATTTAGTTAAAACACCACAGTTTATATAAAACTTTAATTTGTAAAAAAATCACCCCCACCCACCCTAAGCCACTGTCGACCGTTGGCTGCCGCCTAGAGTCGTTGGAAGTCACTGTAAATCGCTAGGAGTCGTTGGGAGTTGTTGATATGGCCATTTCCGACCATATTAATGGTCGAAAACGGCCAAATGACCATAGATATGATCGTTAACAGCCAGATCTTGCCCAGAACTGGCCGTTAACAGCAAGATCCATTGATTTGGTCGGAAATGCTCAAAATAGTTCTGGCCATTTCTAGCCAGATCTACGGCCATATTGTCGACTCTCAATGACTCCCAACGACTTTCGACAATGACCGGCGGTGGTGGCTGGGTGGTGCTAGTGGTGTGCAATTTGTTTTAAATATAAGTGCATTATTGTTCTAAAACTTAATTAAACAAGGGTAAAATTGTAATAGTAGATTAATATAAATTGATTTTAAAATAAAGATATTATTGTTCAAAAAAATTATTAATAAATGATAAAATTATAACAAAAATAAAATTATCAAATAATTTTACAATACTTAAAAAATTTGAGATAATAGATTACTTTTAATATTATCAATAATAACTATTATTAATATTAAAATGTTATCGAAATTTTATATAAAATAATATAAATAACATTACCCTCGATATAAGTAACATCTAAAAAGTGTTTCCCCGGGCGAAGGGCAAGGAATCAGAACGGGACATGTTGTTAGTGTCACATTAACTGCCACTTACTAATGAGCATCGAAATATGCACCCTTCAAGCCGTTGTCTTACGAGTGTCAGTAAACACAGTTATCGGTGATGTCTTTATTGATAAATAATGCCTGGACACTAATTAATAATTAGTAATTATTAACTAATAAAGGTCAAAAACCATTATATTATATATATAATGGTTTACCTCCCCTCGGATATTGGCTCCTTTAAGTTTTGGTTATGTTTTCTTTCTCTATTTCATATGTTATGTTTTGTTTAATATTCGGGTCTTGCGCTATCTTTACCATTTGAGGTGATATTACACATCCAAGAGGTTGAACTTACGAACATGGAATCCTCTTCAGTTTTATCTACGTTTACTGCACCTGTAAATACTAGCTTATCTAGATCTTCTTCTAAAGTAGACAGTCTGTATGAAATATCTTATATCCCAGAAAATCAAAAAATCCAAGACACTATCCCTCCCATTGTAAATCCTTACATAGNCGTTTAATTTTGTTAAGTTTAGTCCTTACTTGAAGGATGCGTTTGATTCAAGAAATGTTGGATTACTGAGAATGTTATATTAATGGAAAGTTAAATTATTTTAAAGATTACTGTGAATCTTTAGGAAAATGTGTTTGGTTAGTTGGAATAAATCAGTAAGTATGTTAAATTAATATGTTTGGTTGGGAGGAATAAATTGGTGGGTATGTTATTTTAATTACTAAATTGCGCTCATTTTTAAATATGAATATAATTTTTTTTATTATTAATTTTTAAATAATTTCTTTTAACCCCCAACATTTCAGATTTAGTTAAAACACCCCAGCTTATATAAAACTTTAATTTGTAAAAAAATCACCCCCACCCACCTCAAGCCACTGCCGGCCGTCAGCCTCCACCTAGAGTCGTCAGAAGTCGCTATAAATCGTTGGGAGTTGTTGATATGACCATTTCTGACCATATCAATGGCCGAAAACGGCCAGATGGCCATAGATCTGGTCGTTAACCGCCAGATTTCGCCCAGAATTGACCGTTAACAGTCAGATCTATCAATTTGGCTAGAAAATGGTTAGAATAGTTCTGGCCATTTCTAGCCAGATCTACGGCCATATTGTCGACTCTCGGTGACTCCCAATGACATTCGACAACGACCGGCGATGATGGCTGGGTGGCGATAGTGGTCTGTAATTTGTTTTAAATATAAGTACATTATTGTTTTAAAACTTAATTAAACAAAGATAAAATTGTAATAATAAATTAATATAAATTGATTTTAAGATATTATCGCCTTATCGATGATGTCTTTATTCATAAATAAATGCCTGGACACTAATTAATAACTAATAACGGTCAAAAACCATTATAATTTCTTTTATATATATTACTATCATAAAAATATAAAATTTTTATGATCATAATATATATCTTCAGAGTATAATAATTATATAATTTTATTAATTGAAAGATTTAGTAGCTTACACATTGCTAATTACATAATTAGCCTTTTTTTTGATAGTTTTTCACAATGAAACATTGAAGCCTTCCTATTTCATTTATATAATATTATTATCCCACAAAATACATTGAATCATGATATAAAATAACACATATATGATCTAATTTTATTAGATTAACTTAAATGACTCAAGAAAGACTTTCCAACAAAATTCAAATACAGATATATTTATTTTTATTTATACGTGTAATTTTCAGTGATACCAAATTATCCTTCTTAATCCCTGCAATGTTTCGTTAAATTAAAGTTTTACTACAATTAATGATTATATCATGATTGATAATAATATAATATTTACCTCTCTTCTGGTAATCAATGACAAACTCTTGGGTTAACTATACTTAGGGGTCTTGTAATAACGTATCAAAAAATTTCTATTAGGGTGAATCAAAATCCAGAAATTATACATATTAGTATTTAAAAAAAAATTGAGGGTGGGCCAAAACTAGGCTGGATCCGCCCCTGGGGTCTTGTGTTCGAGTTACTAAGAAAGTTACTTATTATATTTGCGCAATTACTTTGGTTTATTGGGCTTGTTGGGTATTTCATGACCCTAGGGTTTAGACATGCTCAAATGTGGGCTTGATACCTCGGTTGCCTCTATATATATTAGGGGTGTTCAAAAGAACCTATTGGAACCGGAACCGGCAGGTACCTGGGGTTTGGTTCCGGTTCCTACCTAGAGCCGACCATCAACGGGTAGGTTCCGGTTCCAAATTTTTGGAACCGTTACTGTGCGGTTCCGGTTCCGGTTCCTATAGTTAGGAACCGAAACTAGAACCAGAAATCAGGAACCGAGACTAATATAAAATAAAATTAAAGATTAGGGGGTAAATAAAAACTTTTGTAGAAAAAGTAATATGAATACATTTATATTTATATTTCATAGCATTTAAAGTAAGTTGGTTTGACTTTTGAGAATCTACCTTTACAAAGTAATGGAGTTTGTAATTTTGAATTTTGAATTTTGAATTTATAATTTGTAATTTTATTTTTTTTAACAAGTGCCCGGTGGGGGGGGGTATTTATAAGTTTTTAAGGGTTTTTTTATCATTTTAAAAACTTTTGGGCGTCATGTAATTCTACAGGGTACCCAGAACCGGAACCATTGTTACAGGTTCTGGTTCTGGGTACCTAGGAACCGGAACCAACGGTTCCGGTTCTAGTTCCAAATTTCAAGGAACCGTCAGTTTCGGTTCCGGTTCCTTCAAAAAATGCAGGGTACCTAGAACCAGACACCCCTAATATATATATACCTAGGGGTGTTCGGTTTCGGGTACCCTACATATTTTGAAGGAACCAGAACCGGAACCGACGGTTCCTTGAAATTTGGAACCAGAACCAGAACCGACGGTTCTGGTTCCTAGGTACCTAGAACCAGAACCTGTAACAACGGTTCTGATTCCTGTTCAGGTACCTTGTAAAATTATGTGATCACCCAAAAGTTTTAAAAATGACAAAAAAACCCTTAAAAACTTACAAATACCCCCCCACCTGGCACTTGTTAACAAAAATAAAATTACAAATTATAAATTCAAAATTACAAACTCCATTACTTTGTAAAGGTAGATTCTCAAAACTCAAACCAACTTACTTTAAATGTTATGAAATATAAATATAAATGTATTCACATTANGTGTTCGAGTTACTAAGAGAGGTACCTATTATATTTGTACAATTACTTTGGTTTATTGGATTTATTGAGTATTCTATGACCCTGAGGTTTAGATAGACTCCAATGTGGGTTTATACCTCGGTTGCCTATATATATATACCCACTAAAAAAAAATTTAATATTTATTTTCTAAGCATGGCATTACAAGTAAGATGGACTCAATTTTGACGCCAATTCTATCGTGAAAGAACATTTTCCCCCTTTGGTTTTGGAAACAATCAATATTATCCTCATTTTTTTAGTTCAAGCATTAAGACTTAATCGTAAAAGGGTAATTTTGTCAATTTACCTCATATATAAAATATTATGGAGACAGAAAAAACCTAATACAACTTTATGAAGTATGAACTGACAAAATTACCTTTTCACATTTAAGTTTTAAGTTTTAACGCCTGAATTTGAAAGACTGGGGTAACAGGGGGTGTTTGCAAAATCAAGGGGGAAAAGTGTTTTTTACAATAGATTGGAGGACAAAATGTATTCAGCCTTACAAGTAAATAAAATTTAATATTTATTTTATTATCTTTTTTTATCAATTTTTTTTTTTTTTTTTTTTTGAAGTTTAATAAATTTCGAAACTCACACAGTCACATCAATGAAATTTCCATGCCCGAAATTTAGGTGGTGCTGTTTGTATGATCCTTAAATCTTTTTGTTTGTTGTTTTTGCTGTTAATCCCATTCATAATCTCCAATTTAATTCAATAATAAAATCTTGGATTAGTCATCTTAATTGTGTGCAAATAACTCACCAACTGTGCATTAACTCAGCCTATAAGTACTCACTCGCTTCACAAGTTGATGAAACTTCATAGAACACTCCGCCATTTTCATCTTCAATCAGAGAGCTAAAAACACTTTTACATTTCAAAAGCAGAATCAAAATTCTGAAAATGTTTTCAGCAGGAGCAACATTGTCGAAACCAATTTGTTTTTCCTCACAGATGCCTGCTAAAACCTGCAACTCAAAACCCAGTTTCTTTTTTCTGGGAAAATTTTCGAACCCACTTGTGTTTTCTGGCAAGAACCAATCTTACTCGCAATATTCAACATTTTCTCCTAAAATGGGACAAACCCATTTCTCTGTAAAAGCTGCTTCTTCAGGTAATGTTCTACTTCAAGTCCCTCCATGTTGCTCACAGAGTTGCATTTATCTTTTGTATGCATGCTTTTGGTGATTTGGTTTTCATGCATGTGAAAAAGTTGCTGAATTTTGATTTTGGTTTTGGTTTCTGTAGTGGGAAAATGGGTTTCAACTCATGTAGTATATGGAGCTGGAAATTTGTCTAAACATTTTGATAGAATTAATTGTGAGTATTGTCTGTGTGGAGTGGATTTTATGTCGGGTTTCATGAACATAGTGCCAAAGAAGAAGAGTTGATCTCAAGGACTTGGCTTTTCCAATAATTTATATTAGTATTAGAGGCAATGTAGAGCAAGAACTAAGCATTATGTAGTATTCAAAGTATTTATTTGCTGCACTTTGGTGGAAAATTAGGAAATCATAGCAAGCAAATTTTGGGGAATGAGAAGTCCTTTAAAAATTTTCAACCATGATACACAGACAAGTTGTCATGAGAATGTGTGGATAATTTTACGGGACATATTTTCAGTTCTGATTAAGATATAGGTTATTACAGCCATTAATATATATTGTGTTAAAGTTCATGTTGCTAATTGCTTTGGCCACTATATCTTAAAATTTTAACATTTTTTTGTTACTGGTAACCATGATAAGGTTAGCAGTTTCTTTGGTTGTGTTAGAGTTAGGTAGAATGGAGTATGAACCTCTATTTTGTTATTATTATTTGTGGAGAGGTTTTACATGAGGAATTTGTGCATGCTGAAAGACTAAGAAATCGTATCTTCTTTCATCAAAGTGGTAGTAATGAAGTGACCCTGATTCTTGTGCAGACTGAATGATTTATAGTCCAATCGGTGATGCTCTCACTTCAAATTATGTGTTGCACAGAGCCTTAAAAGGGTTATAAACAATATTGAGAATTACCAATCAACAGCTTCCACTTATGAAAAGAGCTATTAACTTTGCACCACGAATTCATAAATCCTTCTCTTTTCATCCATGTGCAGTTGGAAGTGCAGAGTACACAGAGGAACCTGTAACTAATGTAAAATTTCAGACGTCATTGAGTTTGCCAGGTTGCTCATGTCCATTGTCTTTGCTTGGAACAGGTCAGTTGCTTTAGACTTTAGTTGTAAAATTAATTATATACCTTTTGTTTAAGAATCATCATGAACAATTTCAAGGCACCACATGAATTGATGTGGAAGTGGCACTTGAAAGTATAGGAAAAAGTAAGAATCGGGAACTTAGTGTTCCCTGTCATTTGAGCCATTATATCGTGAAAGTTTTCATGTATAAGGGTGCTGATCAAGCACATACACAACTATGCATACATATCTACATATATATCTCTTGCTATGGAGTCATCAAAACATTTATTAAATCAGGTAGTGGCTTACTCTGTCTATTAAATGTTTCACTTAACATATTTCTGGTGTAGCCTGTAGAAGTCCTATTTTGAATGCTCTATGGAATAATCACTTTGATTATCCGCAATAATGTCAGGATACAGGGAGAAGGTTTTTGCTTTCATTGGTGTCAAGGTCTATGCTGCAGGACTATATATCAATCAATCTATATTAGATAAATTGAGTGCATGGAAAGGACGACCAGCAGCTCAGATTCAAGTGGATTCCTCTTTGTTTGACTCAGTTTTTCGGGGTAACTAAATGATATCAATTATTGCACCTATACTTGAAAGTTCTAATATATCTTCTAAATCTTAAGTGCAGTTGAGGTTGCTAATTATCTGTATACTGCAGTTTCTTTGGAGAAATCATTACAGATTGTTCTGGTCAGAGATATTGATGGAAAAACTTTCTGGGAAGCTCTGGATGAAGCCATCTCCCCAAGAATAAAAGCACCCACAGGAGTTGATAAAACTGCCCTGTCCACATTTCGTAGCATCTTCCAAGCACGGCCTCTTAAGAAAGGAACTTTCATCTTTTTAACATGGCTGAGCCCATCCAAGATGCTTGTAAGTTTACTATAGTTGACATAAATTTAATATTATGCTACAAAATCTTTTTCAAGTATTCTTCTTTTTTCCAACTTTCTCCTTCTCATTCCAATCAGAGGTTTTATGCATTATGATTCCAGGTTTGCATCTCATCAGATGGATTGCCATCTGCCATTGATGCTACAATTCAGTCTGAAAATGTCACTTCTGCCCTTTATGATGTCTTTTTTGGAGGTGCTTCAGTTACCCCTTCATTGAAAGCCTCAGTTGCCACTGGGCTGGCCAAAATCCTCAAGTGAAGTTAGTTTTTGCAAATTTTTGTATCTATTTATATAAGAGTATGGTAAATAATGTGTATCTTAAATATAGTTTCTTGATACCGAGCTGCTGTAAATTTTGTTGTATTTGCATGTGTTACTACTTTAAAGCTGGTTAGATAATTGAAAGAAAAAGCGGCGTTTCTCAACCAAGTACGGTGCTTTTGTAGAGTTGAGCTTGTTCGTTGTAATCCGCAAATATAATGTTATCTTGTCTTCTTAACATGCTCCTCCATGATTTTGGATGAGAATCTCTCATTCTGAATTATATTATATCCATTGAGGCATTTCTACTAGTAATGTCTTTCCTCCATGAGTAACTTCCTTTTTTTTCCTATGTTTTGCTAAATTTGTTCTTCTGTACAAATTTATTTTATGGTTCTGTCTAGTACTAACTACCATGAAAATTGAAAAGTTCATTCTTGAGAAATAAGTACAACCTGCATAAATCCATGAACCCTTTTATGTGTTTTGTTCTGTGATAGCTCACATTTTCTGCCATTTGATCATGCAACATTTTCCTTTTTCAGTGCCTTTAAGCCACGTCTTGTCCTCATAATAACTTCTGCTTGATGATCGATCAGTTTGATAAATATCTGAAGCACCATGCCTGTCTTTGTCTGTGTGTGTGGCTGTTGGCAGAGTCGCTTCAACGCTTGCTTAATTCCTGCCTAGCTTGTGATTATGAGGAAACATTTTACTATTTTCCTGGAAGGAAAGGAAAAGAAAAGAAGGGACAAAAATAATCTGCAATTAACTAGGAAACAGTTGGTAGGCTTCTGCTTGGAGAAGGCATGGTCATTAAGCATATATTAATTGTCTTTTACAACTTTTTCTGACTTAATTTTCTCAAGCATCTTGACAACCTCAGCCATTGTAGGTCTCTCGGAGGGTTCTGGTTCAAGGCATGTTAATGCAATACTGAATACAATGTTAGTCTCATCAGTTGGACAACCCCCTAGGCAAGTGTCGAGGACATACTCTTCCCTCTTGTTCTGGACAACTGCTTTGACCTGTTTCAACATTGACAAACAGTTTGTAAGTTGATGTAAATAGTATATCAGTCTGCAGAAGATGCAATGTCATATGAGTCAAGTTCTTGTTGCAACAAATTGTAAGATTTCATCCAAGTCAAGTCTATTACTGTTGAAGACATACCCATGTCACAAGTTTGGTTCCTTCCTCAAGAAATGCTTCATCCATGGGTTTCTTTCCTGTTAAAAGCTCTAGCAGAACAACTCCGAAGCTGTAAACATCACCTTTTGCTGTAGCCCTCCCTGTATCAAAATATTCTGAAGAATAACAGATGTTGATTAATAGAATATCACATAGTTAACCACCCACAAGTAAGGGAGAGACTTGATGTATGTAGTGTTTTTTACCAGGAGCCAAGTATCCAAAAGTTCCGGCTACTAATGTTGAAACATGAGTCTTCTCAGGTTCCATCAATGTGGCGAGTCCAAAATCAGACACTCGAGCCTCCATGTTTTGATCCAGCAGGATGTTGCTTGACTTGATATCTCTGTGGATTATGTGGGGGATGCAGTCATGATGAAGGTATGCTATTCCTCTTGCAGCTCCTACTGCTATTTTGTATCTTGATGGCCAATCTAAATGCTTCTTGTTTACTGATTTTCCTGCATCATTTGCTACTTTCCAATCAACCATGCAAGTAATATTATAAAAGAAAATTTATTGATTTTCATGGAATGATTTTGACACTTGAGTATCTGTTATTTTTACATTTCTGAAATTCTGACCTTGTTTGAGAAGTTCCTAGCATGTTCATGTGCTTTAAAAGAAAGAATTTCAGAACGTTATTTATATGCTGAAACTAAGAAACAAATTCTTTTTTTGAAAGCTATACATGCATACCATGGAGAAATGTATCCAAACTTCCATTAGGCATGAACTCATAAATGAGAAGATTGTATTGAGGGGCAGTGCAGTATCCATGAAGAGTAACAATATTCCGGTGCTTTATATCTCCCATTGCCTCCACCTCTCTCTCGAAACCTCTCTCCATCTCTGCAGTTCCCCTGTGCAGTCTTTTCACGGCAAAGGCTGTCGACTCATTGATCGTCAATCTGTAAACTGTTCCGAAGCCTCCTGAACCAACAATGTCTTTGTTGCTCAATTTCAGTGTCTTCTTCAGTAATACATCAGATGTTAAAGATTGTATGAATGGAGACCTGAACATCACTATCTTCCCACCTGTATTTTCCCGGAAAAAAAAAAAAATTAGTAAATCTTCATTTCCCTTCTAGCAAACCAGCTTCAAGCCATCATTACCTGAGAATCCATCTGAATAAACCATGTTCTTTCTTTTCCATCTCCGGTAAAGGAGGACAGAAACAACAATCTTTGATATAATAAAAGCTATGCAGCAGATTGTGATGTAGAATGCGATGACTCGAACATTTCCCATTTAGTCCTGCAAAATCAGATGGAATTTCAGAGAACTAAAATGAAAGTGCTTAACATTTAAATCTAGAAAACTGAAGTGTCAACTTGCCAAAGTTACCAGCCAATGATATGCAGGAGCTTCAATGGTGCCCTGAAAGGTTGAAGATAAATGCAGAAGTGTAATGGGAGAATAATGAAAGTGGTAGCTCAGTTGATTGGCAACTGCACCGGAAAATCTTAAAAGGAAGAAGACAGTTTGTCCACAAGAGCATATAATGATATAAAAACTTTCTTCTTTTGCCCAACTTTTTGTTGACACTTTGTGACACTTCATGTCATGTGGGGTTGTGACTTTTTACTGTATTTTTCCATTGCACATGCATATTTAATCATCTATGCAATTCTGGATGTATCTGCTAATTAAAAGCTTTGTTTGAATCCAAATCAAATTGTGATATGTATATCTACTTATTGTCAAATGTTTTCCAAGACTACTAAAGTTGTAGGATTGTGAATCTATGATACTACAACAGTATTACGGCAATTGTACTACTAATTAACACAATTTTTTAATTTAATAACAATTAATTATAAAAATTTTAAGAGGAGTGCTAATATCATACAGTTGTGACCATTCTCTTGACACATTTTATAATGTTATAGGGAGAACGACATTTTTCTACCTTTCAAGTTTCAAAATGACATTTTTCCACCATTTGTTTGGTTCTGTTATGATTTCTTTTAATATTTTATTGAAAAGATGAAAATACCCTTAAATATTTGATTTTATAAATTTTTTATTATCTTTTAATTGGTCAAAAAATCAAATTAAAAAAAACAGTTAACCTCACCTAAAAAAGTGAGGAATAATGCTATTATTGTTTGACTTGAGTTTCAATTCATCACGTGAGCCATCGTGTGTCGGTACAATAGTCATAGCAAAAGTGACGGTGGAGATAAATTTTAAATTTATTAATGATAAATCATTATAATCATAGGTAAAAAGTGTTGTGAAAACTCTTTTGGAGGGTCTGGGTTTTTCGGCTGTTAGCCACCAATTTCACCAATAACTTGAGTGTCCTCAGACTTAATCAAAACCATAATAACTTATGTCAATTTCTTCAAAAAAAATATTGATGGGGGCAACAACAATTTTGTGTACTAAAAATAACCTGAATTCAAGTCACAGAAAGGTTATAATTGACATGCTAGAAGACAAAAACTGATAAAGGATAAATGCTGGTAAACGAAGGAATAAAGGACAATTGAATCATGTGAAAGTATTTGCTGTAACCATGGAATATTAGCCATCTGTATATCCTACATAAGTAGACGAACAGTTGACAATTTATAAAGCCAACAAGACTCACAGGACACACTTTTTATCTATGGCAAATAAGTGCAGGTGTAAAAGCTACCTATCTTCTTCATTCAAGCAAAGGCTATCTATTAATGTTGGTCAGTTGGGAATTTGCTTTATAGCTCTTGTGAAATATTTTGAAACTCCCATTAATGCTACTGGGGTATAAAGTAGCAGTCCCACGAGGAGACTGCTAACTTACCCCAATAACGTTACTGGAGACCTTGGAAAGAAAGAGAGTGACACTGTGAATTGTGTAGACATTTTTCTGCTTTAAGAACTTGATATAATGAGAAGATCTCATATGTACATTACAGGCAAGAACAAGAATACAACAAGGGTAACACCATCCTTATCTCCCAAAAAGATAGGAACGGTATAAAAACAAAAAAATGGCCGCCAGTACTGAAAGAAAGATAATATGATCGCTAGATCTCAACAAGCTCTCTAAGTTCTTCTGATCCTGCATTTCCATGTCAAGAAATCATTAGTAAGATGACAAGTGCATTTTACTACAACCATCAATACACAAATAAGCATACAAGACTTCCAAGTATATCTCCAATTTTGTATCGTAAAAAATCATGTAAACTAGATATGGCATTGTCATGTTATCACTTCTAATTAGTGAAAATAGAATGAATAAGAAGAAAACAATGTAAACTAGGGGTATAATTAAACTTTATGATCGATTAAAATGGTCGATGTGGTAAATGATACGGAATGTCACATTTGTAGGAATGATGTTTGGGAAAAGCAATATTAGTTATGCAAAAGAAGAGAATTAAAAAAGATTGAGATATATCTTGCCTTCCCCATCGAGAGAGCTCTGGCTCTGCCAATAACAATTCCTGTAGAGATTTAACATCCTTCTCCCTTTCATTAGAGAACAAAAAAATCATTAGTAAAATAAAGAAATTAGCCTGAAAAAAACAATACATTTTATAAATTAACTTATCAATTCTCCATTAAGATGAAAACAGGCATGGAGATGGGAAGTAATTTCAAATCTTTGAGAAATATGAACGTGTGCACAGGCACGAAAAACCAATACCATGCCACATGCTCGATCAAAGTTAACCCAACTATTCGAATTGTGATTTAATCATCACATTTTGTATCTTAAGGGCAATTGTGTCTGTATTATGTAAAATCATCGATACTGGAATATACAACCCATCTAAATATTCTATTGCAAGTTTAACATTACTATTCGAAGCAATGCAAGACCACTTCTCACTGCCGGAAACCAAAAAACTATCAGGACATTACACATTGTTGATAAAGACCTATAGAACAATTGAAGTAACAAATATAATTCATATCAGACCATCCTATCACTTCTCTCTCTATATTTATATTTTGCCTCCACTCTAGAGGAAACTTTATGGAACAAATTTGCACGTTATCCTAACAAGTCAGATCCTAAATGTTCCCCTCTAATCACCATTTCATAGTAGCCTATCCTGTTGTCCCACTTATACACGGTTCAACTTCAAGAGAATGAAGGCATGTTAATGAAGTGGAAGTTAGGTAAATGATTTTAAAGCAAGATAAGTTTAACATGTAGTTTTAAAAGAAAGGGAAGAACCAAATGAAGTACATACCTGTAAATATAATCAACAGAAACCTGCCTGTGATGGAGGGTGTAATCGGTGCCAACATAAGTCACAATTAAGCTTCCTGCATCTGGGTGGGGCCAGCTCCTTGAAGTGGGAAACCGGAGAATAAATGTTCCAGGCTCCTGAAGGCCCCTTGGGCCCTGAAGTGAATATTCAGCTTCTTCCTTTGTAATAAATCCTTCTATCCACTTGGGTGATGTGGACTTCCAAGTGGCATTTATCCAATCTCGAGATAACGTAAAAGCAGCAGGGTATAACCAACACCATAGCTTCTCAAAGTTTTCTTGGGCCAGATAATCTCCACATCCAGCAATTCTCCTCAGAAGCTCGAAGTCCTGAAACATTTATAAAGGCCATAGTTTTCAGAGTTTTCATGGTCACAAACAACTGATGATCTAAGCAAAGAAAGCTATTCGCAAAGTTTATACACTAAAAATCTTTAAAAAAAAAAAAAAAAAAAAAAAAATCTAATAACAGTCAAACAAAAATATAACCAAAACTGTCATGTTGCAATTGTATGGTATATATAGATATATGCCACAATAGCAATATTGTAGCACCTCAACCTAGACATGTATCTATAACCATGTTTGTTACAAGCCTCATGTTTCAGTTTCTTATAAGATAAAAAAAAGTTACACGCCATGTGTTCAGCTTTAAGAAAGACAGCAGTGGTAGATTTGTGCTGTGTTGAGTGTGCATGAGTGTGTGTGTTTTAGAGAGAGAGAACCTGTTGTGTGAGAGATCTAGTACAGCAGCATGAAATCTTCATGAATTGCTCCTCAATCTCGAATATTGCACTACCCCAATGAACATGATGGTTGTTTTGAGAGATCAAATTCCAAGCATTTCTTCCTTCTTCAATCAATTTCTTTGCAATGATTATTTGATACCTGATCGATGGGGAAATGTAACTCTCTTACAAATAGGATTAGGAAGCAAACTAGATGGTACATAACATGCAGAAACCAAGATTTAATCTGAGAGTTATTGAAATGTGACACATGCAAAAAGATTTACAGCAATATTGTAATTGGTTCAGTTATCATCCCCACAATTGTGAACACCAAGCCAGTAGCTTCCCTTCCTAACAGTCAGATGCTAAAGCATAGAGAAGGAAGCAAGAATTAATTAAATATGCATGCCCTCTAACCAAGAAAGAATTGAAAGTCCTATTCCATTCCATTCTTAGTTATAAAGATACAGTACTGAGAAAATGGAAGCATCATTGCATGTTGTGATTTTCAGCTGAAAAAATTTAAGTAATGTACTATTACAGTTATGGTTTTCAGCTAAAAATGCTAGCAAACAGATGAAGCAGGTATTGAATTTAGAGATACTAGTTTTCATGTAGCATATTTCCTCCGTTACAAACATCAACAAATAGCAATCATATCAGCAGGGTTTCATTACGTGCCTACTAATTGATTTAACAGGAATATGATCAATCATATGATAATGCTCAGAAAATGAAGAGCCCCTGTAGATCACCTGTGGTGAGAACATCCAGAGAAAATGGATACTTGATGTGCAAACTCCAACACCTCATCATCAGAAGAAGAGGTTGCAATCTCCTTAAGCACACGAGATTTCTCAGCCAAGTTTCCCAGGCAGTACTTAAAGATTGTCAAATCTGAAACTGAATTTCCACTACTTGACATACTCTTAAAAGATGAGTTTCTTGCTCCAGTGCTCTCAGAATCGGATGGAGAGCTGTCTGCTTCCACAAAGTTTTCGTGTCTCCCATTCGAACTCTTTGCAAATGCATTCTCAGCCTAATTAACAATCTCACTGGGATTAATATGTTTTCAATAAGCAAAAAGATAAAATGTCAAAATAAATGTAGATCACCAAGTAAATTCTGAAAATCAGCAAGAAAAACAGTCACCATCTTTAAAATATTACTTTTAAGGAATAAATAGCTCCCAAGGATGGACCATGATGATGAAGAGTCTAAAGTGTGACAGAAAATTAATTTGTCATTTATTGAAACTAATTGTAACCAGCAATATTTTCAAAATTGCATTTCAAAAATGTTACATCGATTATGATTTCCACAACATTTTGTTTTTCCACTCTCCAGAACTAAGAAAGAAATTTGCCCTTGCTACCAAAAAGACCCTAAGGCTCTTGCGTGAAGAGTATAAATTAGGTCCAAATATGACTCCTAAAATCACAAAGAAATCACAGCGCATATGTATTTCTAGATATAGACAAGATGAAATGTCTGCACACGTGCACATAGTGAAACATATTTTAGTGGATGGCAGTGATCATTTATTATATTAAAGAGTTCGGTTGTGAGAGTTGGGTGCATATATGTGTATGTTTGGCTCTCACTTTTCCAATTAGTCTAATCCCCAAATAGTATGACAAGGGACGAAACTAATTAATTGGCAGCTTAAATGAAGCATATAAAATATTTGGAATCATAACTAGAATATGGAATACAAAAGAGAAGTATTTCATGAACTACGTGATTCTTCAATGAAGAGAACCATATACATGTACTGTAATCATCCTAGTTATGGTTAAAGAAAAAGGTCAGTAGCCACCATCCATACCAAATATCTCAATGCAGTTCAAATAGAAATTTTGGTTATTCTATATCTTTAAAAGACTATGATAAAGATAATTGAAGTAAACTCATGAAATACCTTATTAGCAGTCCAGGGATGAGAGTTGCATTCCCCCTCAGGTTGCTCCATGACAGATATATTTTCTTGTTCCAACCTCACCCGCTTTGATGATGGACTAGGTTTTGCTTCTCGTACAGTATTGTGTTGAAATTCTACAGATCCATCATCAAATCCGCATGATAGAGATCCATCGAGTGGATGGATAGCGGCTGGGGTTTTTTTGCTTATCACAGGGAATGTGCGTATATTACGATTTCTTGAGATACAACGAATTGGATGGGAGAGAGCCTCCAGGAAAGGATACCCAGAAACTTTTGGTACTTCAAACCTAATACGGAACAACCTGTTGTCGCACTTCGATGAAAGCTGAAATGGGAGAAAAGTAACAAATTGGCAAATTCTTACTGATAACACAACTTTAAATTATCAAATCCAAAAAAGGAATGGCACAGGTAACAACAATATAAAATTATTCTTCTCATGTGTATCTTTTCCTTTTCTCAATTGCGACACATCACCACATGATACATTAAGGAATTATTGTCACCAAAATCAAACATTCAAGTGTCTGATAACTTGGTTCCAATATAGAGGATAAAATTCTCAACAAGGCATTCAAATATAGCCACATGAAATCACAAGTTTAAACAAAGACATGGGATTCATAATGGACTTTCTACACAGGCTCAGCAATATGTCCGTTAAAGTCATAATTAGAACCTATCGACATATTAGGCCGTTCAAAACCAAAATCCCGAACTGTCAGTTATAAGTTGAGACACTCTAAGCATGTGCAATCATAACAACTTAAAATGAAAAGATTGATACAAAGTAAAAGGCCACATAGTATATAAGCAGCAATAAAATCCACAAAATAATTAAAAGACTATGAACTGTTATGGGTCTAGAAAACCAAAAAAAGAAAAAAAAAATTAAAGAAAATCAAAAAGACCAGTAGTGCAAAGTCAAACAACTACAATCACTTCAATTTTGCAGAGCAGTAAAGTATATCACAAAGAAGTTAAGATTCATCCTTACTTCATGTAAATCAAAAGTTGGAATGCACAAAACTACAAAAGGTACCAATGGTTTCAGCCATGGGAAATACAAGCCAAACAAAGCAGCTACAACAGAACGCAATGATAAAAACCAATTTTACATATTCGTATTCACAAGAAGGGGGTTCATCTTTGACGTCACAGCTAAACAAAACATTACAGCAGTAAATACATATACAGTGGTAAAAGATCATAAGAAACACTTTCAAACTGCATCAGACCGCAAGCTGTGTGTGAAAGAGGCCTATCATTGCAGCTTCCTACCTTGCAGTTCTATGTTAAGATCACTTCAACCCGGACAACCATGTGACACATATATTCAGTTAATAAAGATGATGAATATTCATTGCAAGTTATTGGATGGACACTATCACATAGATAATTTATTTAATGTAAAAAGGATATTTCTGCAGGAATCACTGAATGACAAATTAATTTGACATGCACTAAAGCAAGATCTTTGTAAACTTCCAAACCAAGATGTGAACAATATCCCAAATGTCACCACACCAAAAGTTCACAAGAGAAGGTGTTTTTTTTTTTTCCTATAAGAACCACAACCTAAGTTTTGATATATAATATTTTACCTGAGATATCTTCAGCTTAAAGGAAGCACATCCATGCAATATTTTACTTGGTCTATCACAAGAAGCATATTCAATTCCATCATAGCTTGTCAAGAGGGGAGCTTCTCCATCATTTGTCTTCTCTACAGGGCCACCATTGTCAGCATACAAAAGTGAAGCGACAACCTGTTTCAACAGCCAATTTCAAACATAAATATTAATGCTACCAGAAACAAACAAGCAACACGTGATGAATTCTATAGTAAGCAAAAGCTAGAGATATAAACCTCAAGTTCCTTGTTTACAGGCTCTCCAAAAGCATTTAACAAATGAACATCCAGGGAAAAGATCCTGCGGCAAGATGCCTGAAAAATGGCAAATGTATTAGAAGAAATCTCAAAATGGTATTATCTGATCATAATTTCATAAGCTATGACTTACAGAACATCATGTCCTGCAGTTATATCTTATAACTCATTTCAATACAATAAATTGATACTTGATCCACTAGAAAATGCATAACATTAATAAACTCCCAAGTGTCTAACCTTGCCACCGACAATGCTCCAAACACCATCGCTATCTTCTTCAATCTCAGAGGCAGATGAATTATCAATAGATAGTTGTAGAGGTGGGTCCTAGAATAAACATATGTATGTGAAATAAGAAACTAAAATAGTTGGCACTTAATGAGATAACAAGAAATTTTCAAGAAACTGAAATTAGAACTTCAGTGCACCTTAGCATAGTGTTCACTAACAGAAAAGTTTAGAGGCAAGACTTTTGCATAGTGGACAAAACCTTGCACATCACTACCAACCAATGTTATCCTCTTCAAAGAATCTGACATTGAATCTTTGCTGAAAGATGAAGATAGAGGCTGCTCTGCCACAATCCCCCCATCAATATGAAGCAGAACAGAATCAATATAAACCTAACAAAAACACATCAACAAATTAGAATTTTAAGAATTTCATAGAGCCCAAAAATAACAAAAAGCATCAGAATCACCAGGTTTAACAATAAGATGCACCCAAAACACTTGAGAACGCACAGAACAAAGTACATTTGATCAGGTACAAAGGAATATATAATAGATGCTGATATAATATTGTATAAAACGAAGATGTAGATATAAAAGACACGATAAAGAATTGAACCAAAATTCCTCAACATTTATAAAAAAAAAAAAAAAAAAATTTGGACTCACTGCTAGCTTGGCATATGGCATGAAATAGTCATTTCCTGCATGAACTTTATCCATAACATCTCACATGTAGTACTAGGTTTATGTGCTAAGCTTCAACACTTGATCTAGCCACCACATTTTGTTTCTTCCTATATCAGCTAGATTTCAACCAGCAAAAGTACCGAAACCAGAAATTGGCCTTCCATCCATACATTATCCAGCCAATTTGCATTAGAAATACCAATTATATCAAGTAGACTAAAAAATTAGTCGCTCTTAAAAAAATCAGTAGACAAAACGACATTCCAATATTCTAGTTCCGGATTCTACAGAAAGTGACCAACTCCAACAACAAATTTTATATCTACTTGATTCACTACGGAGAATGTGTCTAACAACATCTCATCACCATCTCCATCAAATTTTAGATTGAACTCCATTTAAGTATCAAACAGTTTACTCCCAACAATTCAATTTCTTCTAAAAGATCAGCCACATACTTCCATAGTGAAAGGACTAGACTGACCAACCTCTGAACATTGTTTTTGAAAAGGTAACTGAAGATGATTATATTAATGGGAGTGGAATAAAAACCTGAGTCCAGTTAATTTATTACTTGAAATCTATTTGAAACGTACCTTGCATCCAACATGAATCCATTTTTCTGAAGGAAATTCAGTCTCCATAGATGCATGGGGAATTTCTGTCAATGGAGTAGAATTTCCAGGATCAAGAGCTTCATGGTGTAATGAAATCAAAGGAAAAAGCTTCAATATTTTCTTCTCATTTAGCACTAGAAAGGGAGCATTGCCGGTATTATGCACCTGCATAGACAAAATAATTTAATCGACCTTTTATTGTGTTCAAAGAAGAACTAACAAAAGATCTAAGAATACAATTTCATAGTGCATTGTAAAGTATGTCATTAATCAGTATTGGCAATTAAAGTACCTTAGTTAATCATGTTCAATGCACCCTAAGAAATAGAAAAATAAACCAGCTCATTCATTTTATAAACAAACTCATAAGTATGAATTCCCAGCTTCGAAGCTCGCTTACAAAAATGATTGTTTTTATATTGATCCTCCTTCATCAGTTAATAAAAAATTCTAATACCTGAGATGTGGTCCATAATTCAAAGACTAGTCAAAAGAAAACACAAAAACATATTTTCCTGCTCATGCCCTGAGTCACAAAAACATCTCAGATTTCTAAAACAATTCCAGCAAAAACATGAAATGCCACAAAATGACTTGTAAGATCACAAAACACTCAACAAAAACATATTTTCCCACTCATACCCTGAGTCACTTAAAAGTACGCTTAATTACTTAAAAAATAGAAAACTTTCCACTTCCAACTACAACTGATGAAAAATATAAAAAACTTTTACCAAACATCTAAGCAACAGAATTCCAGGAAAACCAACCAACACACAATTGGGTGCAAACTAAAAGAAACCAAAACAATTAACAAAGCAAGAAAACAAAGGGGCCAGTTTCTGACACAAGTTAAACCCATAAAAATCATGTTCAATCCAAAATTAATCAACATCAAACACCCAAAAATCCACCAAGAAAAAAAAAAGTTCATACACAAAAACAACAACTGGGTTTTCTCAACAAAAAGCAAGAAACATAAAGGCGAAGTCTTTTAAAACCTGACTAATGAGTGTAGCAGGAAATGTACTAGACTTGAGGAGATAAACCCAGAAGCAAAAAGTGAAACCCCCTTCTTGTGCTTCAATTTTTACTCTCAAATTCTTAAGCAAACTGTAATCTTCACTTTTTATTCCATTTTCACCCATGATTTCCGCCTCTTTCTTCGCCTTCAAATCACACAAAACCTCAAACCCACCAAGCACAACTCTTGTCTCACTATTTCTCAAGTGACTAAACACATTAATCCAAGAAAAAAGTTTCAGTTTTGTTGCCTCTATAAGACCAAACTGTTTCTGGAAGACGGCTGTTAACTAACGGTTGGTATTTGGTTGTTCGACAAAAGTATGTTCGAATCTCCTACATGTGCTGACAGGAATCTGAAGCAAAATAGCCAATAGTTTAATGCTACGTCACTCTAAAATTAGGGAATCGGAAATATTAGTGACGTGGGGTGTTTTGATTGGGTTTGAACTATATGTTTGTACTTTTAATTTTTTTTTTTTTTTTTAATTTCTGAATAATCGGTAAGAGTAAAGAAATACAAAATTAAGAGTGAATAAATCCTGAAAAAGGGCAAGAAATATAGGGCTGGGTAGTGAATTTGGGCTTGGGAAAAAGAGAAAAGCCTGATTAAGGCCCACTCCAGATGCTCTCGCCTTCTTAACAAAATTCACACCTTTTAACATTAATTATTAAAATATGGGCAATGCTACTGCTAGCCAAGATTGCTGTTGGTCACCACGAACGTTGTCAACCAAGTTCTATCACTCAACCATGCCATTGTGCAAGGGTGTTCAAAATCGGTTAATTGAACCGATTAACCAATTTTATGAACCGAAATCGAATCAGTTAAGAAAAAACCGATTTTGAACCGGTTTTTGTTTAATATTTACTATTTTATATACTTTTTAATTTAATACTTTTATAGTAAACTGGATTTCTTATTTTTTATTTTTTATTTTAATTTAATATTTTTATAATAAACCAGTTAGTAAAACCGGTTTCGGTTAATTGGTTTTCATATTCTCCCAAACCAGTAACCGAACCAAAAATTTGGTTTTTTATTTTCTTTGAACCAAAACCGAACTAGTTTTTCAGATAACTAAAAATTCGGTTCGATTACCGGTTCAGTTTCTGTATTTTTTTTAACACCCCTACCATTGTGTCATTTGTAAAACTTACGTTACTCATGTAATGATGATAATTAATTTTTATTAAATATAAATCAGTTTTAAAGACTATATTTATTGCTTTAGTTTTCCAAACGTCTTTTATTTAACCATTGATTGGGATTTATGGCAGCCATTAAGCAATGTCATTAAGAGCTTGATGGAAGCTTGGCTATATATATAATGTTTTCGTCCCTAAGCTCAAGTACTCAACAAAAACAAAATACACCATCAATATTAGAGTGTCTTGAGAGCTTAAAAGAGCAAAAATACAGCTTCGTGAGTTTGTTTCAATGGTTGGAGGTAATCCTTGATTCTTGGTTTATAGTCTAAGAATATAGTATTCTTTGTATTTCTGTTTAGATTGCAGATAAGTTTCTTATAGTTGGTATCAAAGCCATATAATACCTCTGCCTTGATGTTTTGCAAAATAAATTTTTTAAGCTCTCTATTCATGGCCGTTTGAAATTTTTTTTAAAAAAAATCAAAGTTTGTTTTTTAATTGTTTTTAATGAAAATAAATGTTATAAATCATTAGGAAAATGGATTTCTATCATTTATATGCTTTGAAACAATCATTTTGGCGTTGGAGGAGTAGATTTCCATCCGGGTTTGGCTACTAGGTCGTTTTCGGGTCGGGTATCCGGTTATAGATCCGATCAAAGGTTGAAGACAACTGGAGCCCAAGATTAATGACATGTCAGTTTTCCTTAAGTCTTGAAAACAACATGTCGTCTACTTGTCAATTAAAAAAAAAAAATTTAAATCTAACAGCTCTGGGACTTGAACCCATCATTTCCAAGTGAAGAAGTATGCTACTGAGGCAAACAAGCCACTTACCCTTTTTGTCATTTGATTGGTAAAAGAAAATTTATATTATGTCTAATTTTGCTCATTTTAATTATGCATCTTATATTAATTTTGGTTTAATCATATGCATTTTTACATAAGTTAAATTGTGCAGAATCCTAAATTAATTATGCTCATATTTATTTTTCATGAATTGATTATATCTTTCTACATGTAATTTTTTGAATGAGAGCATGAAATTAAATGTTATGCAAATTATGCAATATTTTATGTGAATATGTTATGCATAATAATAACATGTTAGTTATAGACTGAATTATGCAATTTATTCTTATATTGAATTTTCTTATGCTGGAGAAATATTCTCATAAAACTTAAATTTATAATGTCTTGTGATCCATATAATTTTAATTAATTAGAGATTAGCCACAGTATCTTTAGTTAAATAAAATTATATAAGATCACATAAAGAATTATAGACATTAACTGTAATTAATTATACTTAATATAATAAATTTTATCCCATAAGATATTTTGTTATATTTATATAATTAATTAGGATAGAATATTAAATTATATTTCTTGATTTACCCACAGGAATTAGGAGAAGTAACATAATTTGATAGTTTTATCATAAGATTAAGATAGAATATCAAATTACTTTCATAATATACCAACTAATTATGAATTAAGAACATAATTTGATGATTCTATCATAAGCTATATATGAATATACTTGAATTAAAATTTAAGCCCACAGTCAAATTTTATGTCATTATATTCAATTCTTACATGTTTTGCATTGGTAAAACATGAAAATTATTAGACCTCAAATTTTGACATAAGCAATTTTAATGCAACTTCACAACCTGCTAATTTCTCTGATATTCGTTGCGATATCCCTGAATTGAAAAGTGATAACTATAAGGTATGGAAGGAGAGAATTTTCCTCCATTTAGGATGGATGGATATTGATTATGCTATTAAGAAAGATGAACCACCAGCTATCACTGATACTAGCACTCCAGTGGACATCACGCTTTATGGACGGTGGGAGCGATCTAATCGCCTCAGCGTGATGTTCATTAAGACTAAAATTTCTGTTGGTATATGTGGTTCCGTTGATCAGCATGAAAAGGTCCGGGACTTGCTGAAAGCCATTGGTGATCAATTCATCACTTCAGATAAAGCACTGGCAAGCACCCTAATCAAGAATTTTTCATCCATCAGACTCACCAGCGTGAAAGGTGTGCGTGAGCACATCATGAGTATGAGGGACATTGCGGCTCAACTTAAGAAACTCGAGGTTGAGATGTCTGAATCCTTCCTAGTGTACTATATCCTGAACACCCTCCCACAATAGTACGGGCCATTCAAAATCTCGTACAACACACATAAGGACAAATGGTCAATCAATGAATTAATGACCACGTGTGTTCAGGAAGAAGGGAGGCTTGTGATGGAGCTTGGTAAAAGTGCAATGCTGGTAACAACATGCGGGAAAGGCAAACTTCAAGCCAATCAAAAGGGGAAAGGTAAAGTACCACCTCAAGCTGATATCAAGAAAGAGGCCAAATGTTTCTTCTGTAAAAAGAAGGGACACATGAAGAAAGAATGCCCCAAATTTCAGAAATGGCTTCAGGATAAAGGTAATCCAACCTCGTTTGTTTGTTATGAATCTAATATGGTTAATGTTAATATTAACACCTAGTGGATTAACTCTGGATCTACAATCCATATTGCAAACTCCTTGCAGGGTATGCAAAATCTAAGGAAACCAGAGGAAAGTGAGCAAAGCATCTTATCTGGAAACAAGATGGGCTCACATGTGGAGGCCATAGGAACATGTGTTTTAACTTAAAGTAATGGTTTTGTATTAGAATTAGATAGGACCTTTTATGCTCCAAGTTTTTCATGAAACTTGATTTCAGTTTCCAAACTTGTACTTTTGGGTT